GAAATCGTCACAGAGTTCATCTATGTTTACACTGTCCAGGATTGGCTGATGTGCATTGCAGATTGCTACTTTTGCGCTTCGCGCTTAACATTTAGCTCGTTGCTTTTTGACGCTGCGTCTTTGCATTTGGCGCACTGCATTTCTATGATGCTGTTGGTTGAACAAATTGAATAAATTCATCAATTCCTGATGAAGCCGTAAGCGCGAGAATTAAATTTATTCTCGTCTCATATACGGTTGTCTTATTTACTTCGTATATATGTATGTATTATGAAAATGAGATAGCAAAATGTGTATATTGATGGTCATCTTGCGAGTAATAACCATTAACTACTCTCATCGGGCTCTCATCATTAATTTTTCTCTTCATTTTTTTTTCTTTGATGGTGAATTATTGGGGGGGGGGGATGATTGTACAGGCCATCCCCCCACCTGAAATATTGGGGGGATATATCCCCCCATCCCCCCGGGATCGACACCCATGCACTGACTCCTCAAATTCCCTCTCATTATATTATATTAATGACATTAATACCCGCATTAATATCACTCGCCGTGTAAATTTCATTTTGTAATTTCCGCACGCAGTAACAACTGTTGTGAATCGAGAAATAATGTTTGAAATGCCATACTTGTTTTCAAACTTACAACTCTTTTCTCCCGCCGTACAATTTTCTCATGAATCTTAATCGTAAACTTTATAGTCAGTCCCCTTCCCTCTACACCGCGTTCAATTAGATGTACAGTGTACAAGTAATACATTTAGGATATTCTTTCTGCTGTGTCCTTGATTTTAACAACCAACATGGCAACGACCTCGAGACCTGCGAAGAAAAGGAGAGTTTCTGATGAAGGCAGAAACTTTAAATCAGATTGGTCTCTAAAGTAATTCTTCATAGAAGAGAAAGGTGGACCACTTTACCTCATTTTCACCAGAGTATGTAATGGAGGTTAACAACATAATAGAAAAGTGCAAGCCACAGAAATCACACTAAATATAAGCCTGATTTGTTTTTCTCACTGATCTTGTTGTTTGCTTGTTTGTTTTTGCAGAATTTCAGGTGTGTACACGTATTGCATGAGTGTGTGTGTAGGGGAGGGGGGAGACTAGCTACGGCCCGCAAAGTTATGCCAATCGTTAGCTGTGGCCCGCGAGCTTTAAAAGGTTGGCCATCCGTGGTCTAGGCAACGTGCGTTACAACATAAAAAGATCACTGCGCACGCACGCCGAGTAGCCGAGAAGCCTGTTTCAAATCGGGCAAAGCTAGTTTTCCATGCAATCGAAACCGGGCTGACCAGATTAAACTTATACAAAAGCAGAAACACGAAGTTGCAAACCATCCAGAGACTCCTAATAAATTGCGTTACTAACTAATTAATTATATCATTACACATTTTTATTCTCAGTTTTCTTATGTATAACTGATTTTCTTATAAAACTGAAGATATGGAGTATTCAATACTGAATGAACGCCATTAAACTATTACCAACAACAACAACAACAACATCCCATGTCTCGTTTATTAGAAATGAGAGTGAGATATAATTAAAATGATACTATACCGATCTCCGGTGCTTTCGTTATTTTTTGTCAAGAATATTGTACAACATAGCTGTCATCCCCTCATAGTTATAACATAACAAGTAATATATCAGTTCACCTTAATTGTATTTTATTTTGTAATTTATTAATTTGTTGTTGGGAGTGGGTGTTTTTTTTTGGGGGGGGGGGGTGGGGCACTGGAAGATTCAGGCGGGCAAAATATATATTTTGTGTAATTATATGTTGTTATTAAAGAGGGTTTAACAAAGGTATTTATGAAGGACCTCCATCCCTTTGATAGAAATTTAAGGACAGAGCGATGCACAGAGTGGGACTTCTCCATTTTTATAAGGTCTGTGGATATCTCGGGGTCATTTTTGTAGTCCTACATCTCCGAGTTGATTTGTTTTGAACAGATCCTTTCGTGACATCATTGCGACTTTTATTGATTCTTCGAGTGCTCCTCAACCATATTTCTAGTGCTTACCCAGTCTGACGTTGCTATGGCGATGATCAAATACACGTTGCGAGAAAGAAGAATCACTTAAAGATAAAGTTTGTAACTAATTAAAAAAAAATACTGTCTAGAATTGTTTGAAGAAGGTTGATGCAGTAAATAAGAGTAATTGCATATTGCCGGGTTTGGAACGATCAAACTGATTACAAGTTTACTAATTAAAATCTTGCTCAAAATTATCATATACTCCAAGTGAAAAGGACTGCACAGCGGTATAAATTGAGGGACTAAAATAGCACACAAAATAAGTTGGTCCGAAATTTTAACTATTTCTAGTCATATATATATGTATAATAAGGGCATTACAAGAATAGTCCTTATGTGACGTTGCTTCTACGATATATTTCCACATGCAAATAATGAGAAAGCGCACACATTATTTCATCTTTAAAGTCAATCATCTCTGTACGTCGACGATCAGACGACGGTTATCTGGTAATCTACAGCTTGTACTTTATCGACAAATAAAACCTTCCAGTATTTACAGAAAGCTAATATATTGATTAGCAAATATAGAACAATATTTCCAAGGTTAGTTTGAGTAAATCTGCAGTTTGAAAGATCAAATAATGGCGTATTCATACGAGCGATTGACAGATTTTGTCTTTCCTATATACGTTACTGGCGATGTTGATCCTTCACGCATTCTTATGATTATTTGTTCTGAGATTAAACATTAATCAGGCAAACTTCTTTTATGTGATTTCACACGCGATAAAAGAAGTGTCATGTAAGGAATCATATCTTTTAAAAAAAATATTTCCGTGTTCAGAGAAGGAGAGAGAGAGCCTAGAGAGAAAAGGTGATGGGCGAGGGCTGATTCACCCCCCCCCCCCTAGATCCGCCACTAGGATATGTCAGGTTGTTCTTTACTGGAATGGGAGGGGCATGTGCCCTCATAATTATGCAACACAATGACTAAACCAATTAAGATAATCATAAAGTTAATGTTTGAAAGAAAGTGGATAAATAAATCTTTTATGCATTCCTTTTTCTCTGGATGACCTATATGGAATATAATTTTTTTTTTAATGTTCACGTAATAATAATAATAATATTTAGCTTTTATATGGCGCTTAATACAAATGTCTCTAAGCGCTTTACAAATATGGATGTTCCTATCAAAATACTTCCAATGCCAATGTAGTCTACAGATGGAAAACGGTGCACTCTCAAAAATGACAGAACAACAAAGTGATATATCCTCTTATAAATCTTTATATTTTAATCGTTCAACATATATTTATGAGTATGAGTACATTGTATATACAAAATAATAAAAAACAATGACAATTATTTATACATTTTTACGTTTGCTAATTCATGCTTTCTCAAAATAAATACATCTGTTAGTCGTATCCAGTCAGATATTTCTATAATTCAGAGTTTGTCACAACATATCTAAATAGATATACAAGTACAACTGGAAATCAAAATGGTGCACATTTTTTTTTCTCCACATATTCAGATACTCAAATTTTAGGCAAAGTTCTCTCACAAATTCAAATACACAATCGGGCATATTTTTTCCACAAGTTCATTATCATTTTTTGCACACTTTTCTTTCACATATTCACAAATACTCAAAATTTGAGCACAGTTCTCTCACAAATTCACAAATGAATTTGGGCGTATTTTCCCCGAAAATTCACAATCATTTTCTGCACGCTTCATTCACAGTCACCGTTTCATACTACATAAAGGCTATGTAGTTCACTAAACAACGTTATTGTGTATCTGAATAATTTAAACACAATCTTCTTACTAACACCAGGGGTGATAGCGAGCAATAAAACAAAAAAAGAGAAGTTTTTTTTAGCCCCTCAACCATGCTTCCCTTGAGTAAAAAAAAAATTAAAGAGGATTCAGGGGGGGGGGGGGAGATGGCATGTAATAACATCCCCCCCCCCCTCCTTTGATTAAAAAAATTGGGAAAGATAGGGGGGAAAGGGAACAATAGAGAAAAAAGGGATAAAAATCGGGAAGAAAAAAACTGGAAAAAAATTGGGTTAAAAAAAAGAGAATATAACAAATAAGCACTGAATCACTTGTAATCTAAGAGCAATGCAAACACTTTTATCTTTAAAAGGACATATAAAGGATTATCATTATTACTGAACTGTGCAGAGGCACTTTAGAAAGGTCTGCTTATCAGACTAAGTCAATCAACAATGTTTTCAAAAGTTATATATGACTCTATACAATTTATTTAACAATGTGATATTAATATACGGATCAATAACTGTGACTTTCACTATCTTACAGGGTGCAGTGCATGGATTATACATTATAAATATCTATACACATTTACATCTTTGTAGGGATGAAACTTCACTACCACTTTGCAGCGGCATGAACCCCGTTGTATTACAAGGAACCTTTCTTTTTCATTAACTGCTTCTCAGAAATGAGTTGTGTTACAAAACATTGATCACAATAGAAATATTCTATCACGCATGAACCAGCACAGAGAAAATCATTATTGCACTTTTTGTTACTGATTTCAGCCTCCTCTTAAGGATAAAATACCTCTTCTCTCTCGAATGTGTCACTTGAGGTTATAGTTGGGTGAGGTGGGGGAGAGGAAGGGGCTACTCTTTTTTTTTTATATAAGCTTGTAAGGGATTTAATGGGTACAAAAATATCACTAAATTCTGTTTTTCTTCAAAATGTCTTCTCCCTGGGGGCGCTACATATTTGGGGGTCATTTGAACATCTGTGATTTTCGTTATAGGCCTGTTTTCATCAGCTCGAGATTGCCAAATATCTGCTATTTTAACTATCCCGATCGCAAATCATCCAGTTAATTTGCGTCTTCATCAGCCCAAAGTTGCAATTAGCGGGAAATTTGGTCGAGATAATCATCCCAAGATATCTTGGGCTAGTTTGCAAAATATCCCGCTATTTGTCCTGTGCGTCTTCACCAGACCGAAGACTCACGCTATGCGTGAACGCTGAGCAAAATATCTCAAGCTAATTTCTCAAGCTCGAGTTTCAAGCTCCAAGGTCGAGTCTCAAGCTGATGAAGACGCGATTTTTAACTTCAGGATTATTTCCCAAATTAGAAATAGCAGGCTATTTGGCAATCTGGAGCTGATGAGAACATACCTAATTGCACAACACACATGTACATGTAATTCCAAGCAAACCAAACCCCGCTATGACAGCTCGAATCCCGTGTTACTAGTGATTGCATAACGTAGCTTCTCCTTCAGTGTACTCTTCTTCTGGTAGTTGGGCAGCTTGAGAAGATTGAAGCAGGTCGACGAGGTCGGGAGGCGGCTGACTGGGTCGCGACGCTGGATACGTAGAAAGCCACGCAGCACGCTACCAACCGTATCCCCAGTATCCTAGGACAAGTAGACGATGAACAAAAAAATAAAATGATTCTACATGAAAGGGAAAATCCACACTGATTTTTATATAACTGAATCAGTTATTATTATTGTTGTTTTTTCTCATAAAATAATAATTTATAATAATTACTTTCACAGGGGGGCCTACACCCTACAAGCTCTGCATTTTAATCAGCCCTCCTTCCCTTCAATTCCATATTTTGTTAATGTGTTGTATTATGCAAATTGATCGGTATGTATATTAATATGTGAATTTATAAAAATGTACCATGTAGCTTTTTACGCCACGTGTTCGTGTAGTCCCATATACATCTTTCTGTGTACAGTGTTTGTAACTTTACCAAGACTTGGCCAAATTTCTCATCATTTTGATGATTCCAGAACCTTGCAATACACACAAATTCTTATATGCTAGATGATCAACCTTTTCTGATCGATTCCACACCGTTTCTTTCACAATGCAATCGCATGACCAGAACTCAACTTCATCTTTAACCATGTAAAATCTGAGATGCATGGCCCCTCCATTAATCCATTTAAATGAAAGCTCAGGTGTTTCCTTTGGAATAAGTATGTATAAAAGTAATGTTGATGTCACGCTGGATCGTACAGGTGGTTATACAGACTTTTTTTGGGTTATTTTACAATGCCATTGATTTCGTCAATTTGCTTTCTCTTCTTCTTCTTCTTCTTCTGTCTCTTCTTCTTCCACTTCTTTTTTGTCTTCCTCTTCTTCTTCTTTCTTCCCTTCTTTACCTTATCATTATTATATTATTCTCTTTACTCTTTATTCTATTTTTCTTTTCTTCTCAAATTCACTCTCCTTGTACGTCTCTAGAATCTCATACTATACTACTCCGTTTTCGCCCCTATCATACCTTTGAAAATCCAGACCTACTATATTGTGTCACTCAGTATGGGATTCACGTACAAGCTATGCTTTTTATTTAGGCTCCCCACATTTTACACTGTTTTACCTTGCCTGTTATATCTACATATTTTGAAATTTCATACTTATTTTCCGTACATTATACTTGATTTGAAATCTTTAATTTTTTTAATTTTTTTTTTCTTGTGTGAAATCTACTCTTATATAATATATGCCTGCATAAAAAAAGAAAAAAAAAGAAAATAAACTGTTTTTTTATGTAAAATGTGGAATAAATAAACTTCAAACTTCAAATGTGTTGTCAGTGTCTGTGATATGGTGTAATATAAAAACCGTAAGGAAAAAGCAAAATTTGACTTCAATTTTCAATCATAAATATCTTGATAATCAGACATGCGATTGGCTTGTGAAAGTTTTGGGATTCATGTATGACCCACAGGTTCATAATTATGATTGCAGCATGAGCTAAATCAATTTTTTTAAGGATATGAGACAAAGTTACCGGATCCCTTTAAAGCTTACATCTAACAGTATTTAACAAAGGTCTAATTCAACTGGGTATTGTCGCTATTCATAAGGACCGCTTTTCATAATTTGAGAAAAGGGTCATTATTCAAAAGGACCGCTGTCCATAATCAAAGAGGAGAGTCACTATTCATAATAAAGAATCAGGGCCTGATTCGTAAGGGTCCCTATTCATTATATTAGAAAAGGGTCCCTATTCATAATATTAGAAAAGGGTTGCTATTCATAATAGAGTAGAAGAGGGTCACTATTCATAATAGGAGAAAAGGGTCACTATTCATAATGCGAAATGAGGGTCACTATTCTTAAGGGTCATTATTCATAAGGATCGCTGTTCATAATCAAAGAAGAGGGTCGGTACTCATAATATGAGAAGATGGTCGCTATTTATAATACAAAATCGGGGTCGTTATTCATAAGGGTCCCCCCTTGAGTAAAAAAAAAAAGAAGAGGATTCGGGGGGGGGGGGGAATGGCATCTAACAACATTTTGAGTAAGAAAATTTGAAAAAAATATAGGGAAGAATAGAGAAAATAAGGGAAAAATCTGGAAATCAGGATAAAATAGGAAAAAAACAAATTGGGGAAGAAAAACAAATCTGCAAACAAAAAAGGATAATCGGGAAACCGATTTAAATTGGGTAATTATCAGGCCTGCGCTATTCATAATAGGAGGAGAGGGTCGCTATTCATAATACGGGATGGTAATATTACCTGATCATCGCTGACTTCCACACATCTGATAGAGAATGGAGGTTCCAGGTGAGCAAAGCCAAGCAGAGGAGGTTTGGAACAGCTCGTCACAAACTAGGAGAGGAGAGGACAAAATACAAGGAACATGAGTCTCATTCATCGTACAGCTGGAGAAAAAATTTAACAAAATGGTGAAGGCTATAATCAATTAATACAAAATGCCAAAATTTCTATAATAAATAAATACATAATATGGCGCCGGTATCCATCAGGTTCTGACGATCATGGCGCTTTACACATATTACCCTGGTGGTAGTCGAGCTGCCAAAGTAACTAGCGCTCAAGCATATCAGGTACCCATATAAATCCTTACGCAGGTTCTGATTATACTGGAAAAAACAAGACAATGTACAAAATAATATACCGGTAACAGAAGAGAGTGTATGGTGGAGCTATAGATAAACAAATTATATAGCCACAGAAAACTCAGGGATGAAACCATTTTCCTTCCATCAACATTTGTATATATATATTAGGGATCTGAGTCTAACAGAAAATTGTGAGATTATTCGAGGGATAGATTACTTTATCAATTCTTTGACTCTCTTTCTGCCACATGATAATCTCCCGGTGTCACATTGTTGGTTATTAGTGATTATTTTACCTGCCTGCTATTAAAGAAAGCATAAATGCTTGTAAGTAAGAGTAAGCAGCCAGATGGCCGATAGCTTAAGCTCTTCTCCGAACACTAGCGCATCGACTTGGTTTCGAATCCGGGTGACCAGATTACGAGACCACTGCTCTACTGACTGAGCTATCGCGCCTCCTTGTATTTATGGATGGACATACCAAAGGCTTCAAGATGATTTTAATTGTTTCCAGTGCAAGATTAATGAAGACCGGTGTTGTTCGGGTGATCATTGAGTTAAAGATAAAGACCAGTTCTGGTCATGCGATTGTGTTGTGAAAGAAACGTTGTGGAATCGATCAGAAAAGGTTGATCATCTAGCATATAAGTATTGGTGTGTACTGCAAGGTTCTGGAATCATCAAAATGATAAGAAATTTGGCTCAGTCTTCGTAAAGTTACAAGCACTGTACACAGAAAGATGTATATGGGACTACGCACACGTGCGCGACACATGCGTTTATCTCTCACAGTCCAATAGATAAACTAATTTACCAAATATATCAATTAGTAGGCGGTTTACCGGCAAAATTTTATCATCATGTATTAGTCAAAACATATTCTTTCACATGATTGGTAATGAGAGCTTCCATTTCATTTTTTGAAATTGGGGCGTTTCCAATACTACATCTTTAAAGAAATCCTTGATTTAGCTCATGCTGCAATGATAATTATATACCCTATCGTCTGTCTGATTATCAAGATATTTATGATTGAAAATCAAATTTTGCGTTTGCCAAACGTTTTTTTTTTCTTCAAAGGCAACGTTTACCAATGTTAAATCTGAGATGCAAGGCCTTACGTGATATCAGTGTCTTTGATATGGTGTAATATTGAAGCCCTAAAAAAATTGCACTTCAAAATGACCATGAAGTGCCTCAAAACAGTAAAAATCTTTGAGTGACTGGTTTTACCATACTCATCTTTCCCAATAGACTGTAGTGTTATAAAAAACGTTAGGAAAACAAATTCTGAAATTTCTATTTTCAATCATAGATATCTTGATATTCAGACAGGTGATTGGCATGTAAAAGTCACGGGATTCCTGACTGACCTAAAGGTTTATAATTATGATTGCAGCATGAGCTAAATCCAGGATTTTTTTAGAATCTGAGGCAAAGTTACCGGATCGCTTTAAGTGGAAATAAAATAAGAGTTGTAAGGCAAAATTGACTTTACAACAAGCCGTAGAAGACAAACGGAAAGCTATCGTACCTTGAGGAAGAGCCCCCTCTCTTCGAAGGTGAAGTCATTGCTGAGGATATCAAACAGCCAGTTGATTACCCGATGGGAGTTGTGAAACCCTCCGTAGTACTGCGTGTGTTTCCTGAAACAGATCAAATGGACAAATTATATGGGCTGTGTATGCATTGGAGGATGACAGCTACCTTACTATTCACATCAAGAAGACTTTGCGAGATGAAATACAGCTTTTTAGCATTTCTGAATCGGTGCATTGCGTGAACCAGTCATTGAAGGGATCTTTATCATTTCCATGTTTTCAAAAGAATTTAAAATATCATTATGAAGTTGATTAAACAATCAATATGTATCAAGATAGGTTTATTTAATTTCTAGATAGATGGATGCATGTCCAAGATACTAGAATCTTATTTTTCATTGTTCCTTTGTATGTATCCATCATTTTGTACATTTGCTTTATACTGTGTTATGCTTTGAGAAAAATTAAATAAAGACTATTTGAAGAAAAAAATGAAAACTAGATGGAACTTCGACTGCGCGCAGTCGAAAATGATGCCTCCGTCATAGAGCAAGTTTACAAATTAAAACAGAAGAAATTTTTCAAATTCAAGTTTCATTGTAATCTATTGACAGGTTCTCAGAATATTGTGATAACAAGCAATTTCTCATATACATATATGACCCTTTGATCTTTGATCTCATGACCCTAACATCTACTCAGTTCATTGGCTCTGCAAGATGTCCCGAGTTAAATAGTAATCCATCTGTCAGTTCTAATGAGAATGCGTTCACAAGCTATTTTTGCATACATAATGAGCCCATGACATTTGACCTTTGACCTCATGACCAAAGAATCTACTCAGTTTATTGGCTCTGCAAGATACATACATGATCTAAGTTTGGCAGGAATCCATCAATCTGTTCTAATGATAATGCGATCACAAGCTATTTTTGCATACATAATGAGGCGCATGACCTTTGACCTTGACCTCATGACCCCAAAATCTACTCAGTTCATCGGCTCTGCAAGTAACATACATGATCTAAGTTTGGCAGGAATCCATCAATCGGTTCTTCAGATAACGTGATCACGAGAACGGGACGTACGTACGGACGGACGGACAACCCGAAAACATAATGCCTCCAGCTACTTCGTAAAGGAGGCATAAAAAGGGTCTTACAAACCTGAGATCATTCAAGTCCAGAGCGTTGACATCCCCTGAGATGAGCCTCTGGAGTTCTGGTCCAGAGAACCATGCCAACCATAGGGGGTTGACGAGGGAGAGGAAGCCTCGCTTGAAGGCACGGGTCTGGTCGCGGATCTGCTGGCACATGCGGAAGTGGGCCATCAGATGGATGTACTTGATCCTGGGCGGGCAAAGGGATTAGTACAAAATCACAATCATTGTCTTAATCGTAATCATCATAAAATTATAAAAATTGTCTTCTTCTTTTTCTTCTTCTCCTCATTGTTCTTCTTTTTTTTAATCTTTTTCTCCTCCTCCTCTTTTTATCTTATCTTCTTCTTCTTCTTCTTCTTCTCCTCATTGTTCTTCTTCTTTATCTTTTTCTCCTCCTCCTCCTCCTCTTTTTCTCTTCTTCTTCTTCTCCTTCTTTTTCTTCTTCTTCTCCTTCTTTTTCTTCTTCTTCTTCTTCTTCTTCTTCTCCTTCTTCTTCTCCTCATTTTTCTTCTTTTTCATCTTTTTCTCCTCCTCTTTTTATCTTGGCTTCTTCTTCTTCTTCTCCTCAATTTTCTTCTTTTTCATCTTTTTCTCCTCGTCTTTTTATCTTATCTTCTTCTTCTTCTTCTCCTCATTTTTCTTCTTTTTCATCTTTTTCATCTTGGCTTCTTCTTCTTCTCCTCATTGTTCTTCTTCTTCTCCTCATTTTCTCCTCCTCCTCCTCCTCTTTTAATCTTCTCCATATTGTTCTTCTTCTTTATCCTTTTCTACTCCTCCTCCTCCTCCTTCTCTTGTTATCTTCTCATCATATTCTCATCTTCTTCTTCTCCTTTTTCTTTATCTTTATTATGATTTCAAGGAAGAGAGTAAGCTCAGGGGATAACTTTATTTTCCTGTGAATAGGAGGAATACGTGACTGGTATCTCACTTGTTTTGGTTGTTGACTGTTATAGCTTTGCCGCCGGGTATGAGTTCGTGAGTGATGAGCTTCCCCATGAAGTCTTCATCCAGAGAAAACCCCAGGTCTAAATCGGCAACATCACCATCATAATGCTGAAATCAAGACAAATAAACAAAAACAATGTAAGAATTCCACTATAACAACATGGTCTGATTTGATTGGAAATGTGAATAATTCATGAAAACTAAGCTACATTTTCAGCTGAACATTATTTTGGAAAGAGGACTGATCAGACTATTTCCTATGTTTTCGTTCATGCGTATCCCTCGAATTACAACCTATATAGCATATGTAGGCTTATCTCTACATTCATGAGTTATTATATCATTATAGGGGGTTTATCAATGCCAGCAAAATTCATTCAAATACAATTTTTTCTCCATACTGTAAAATTTCTGCCACTTTTATTTTCTAGAGTGAGACAACTCCAAATACGCCATTTTATTCTTTGTTGTTGTGGTATAGTCGTCAGACTGTGGATCACACGGTCCGTGGCTCAAGTCCCGTAGCGGCACTATTAAATGTCCTTTGGCAAGACATTAATCTACATCTGCATGCGCCGAAATTGGCAGCCAAGCAAAGCCGGGTAATATTCAGAGCGCCTTGAGCACCATGCATGGTGGATATAAATATCCGATATTATTATTATATCCTCCAGAACTACATGTCTTTCACCCAGATATGGTTTCTACTAGCTTTAACATGCTGAATACTGATTCTAAGATTTTTACCTCATGCATTTTTTGTGAATCAGCATCTTTATTTTTAATTCAAGCAAATCTAACATTGTGGAAGTGTCATGGTGTAGTGGTTCTGACTCTCGTATTTCAATCAATAGGTTGCGAGTTCGAATCCTACTCCAGGACGCTAATTTCCTTCAGCAAGAAATTCATCCACATTGTGCTGCGCTCCACCCAGGTGAAGTAAATTGGGACCTGGTAGGAATGTAAGCAGAGTGCGTGACAGCTGCTCTGATAAAGACAGGGTAATCATGCCGCATCATTGTAGAGCGCTTAGAGACTTCTGATAGAGTAAGTGTTAGGCGCTATATAAGCTCATATAATTATTATAAAATATAAGGACTTGATGAGAAGCGCTTACTTTGACAAATGTGAGATTCTTGTAGAGTTCTTTGTCCAGTGAGGGCAGTTCGTCAATCGGACTGTAGAGGGTGCTGTGAGTGTGATCCAAGATCTGACTCAGAAAGAAATGAGCGAATGGCACTTCCACTACGATTCCCTGGATGCAGTGAAGAAAAGTGTTGCAATGTGGTGTTTGTTATATTGAATTTAACAGGGATGCCAATTAGAATTGATCAGAGGGCCTGAAAATCACCTAGAATGAGCTATTTTGTACTAAAAAAAAGCCTAAACTATGGTCTGAAAATAACTTGCCAGGGCCTGAATTCAGGCTATTGCCTAAAAATTGGCATCCCTGCTATTATAAACAATATTACAATAATGACAGAAGTGAGTGAAGCATGCTCTACTATAAGACCCTGGATAAAGACAAATAATGTATCAATATGGTTTGTTAATCTGAATTACAGCATTCCAAGAGTATCTATTTTCATGAGACATTCTAATTTAATATTTTTTCACATAGGAAGGAACAAAAGGTGGGAAAGCTCATTTTCGCCCTCACCTTTACCGGCATCAACCATGGCTTTTTTTAAAGTGACTCAGTAACATTGTTGAAGGTTGATGAAAAAATTGCTTAATTTTTGTATAAAATGTTACTTACTATATTCCTTCTACTGTACTAACCCTCTTGACATGCAAAAAATCCTGAAATAATTCTCAAACCTCAAAGATATCTATGGTTTTCTTTGAAGGCGTTGATGTACGACACCCTCTAACAGCAAATTCTCCCAACCATTTTTTCGTGAAAAAAAGACATAAAACAGGCTATAAAAAAATCTGTCAACACTTAAAAGTCTGGAATAGAATGTACAGCCATTTTATTGCTTTGTGAGGTTTTCATTCACCTAAAATGTAATTAAATTGTAACAATATAGTTGGGAGAATTAAGGAATTGATCAGATCAGTTTTTCCCAATTTGTTCCATGAATAATGGTCCATTTTCACTCAAATTTTCAGATTATCTTTAATTGTACATCTAGCGTTGAAGTCACTACCTTAGCACCACTATCTCTCATCTGAACAATGTTACCAAGTCCCTTTAACACTATTGTCCTGTGTAAATGTATATATTTCACACCTACCTCATAGACAGCTTTGCCGAGCATCTTGCCCACAAACTCAAAGAGAGGAAGATGATTCTCATTGATGTAAGATGTAGGGCTTGGGTATAATCTCTGTTCTTCTGTGGTCTAAGGTACAAAGATACAGTGCAAAAAAAACTTGGTAAAATATATAAATTGTTGGTTAGAAGAAAAGATTTAAGTGAGAAAAAAACAAAAAAAAAACATGATTTGTAGCCAAATAAAAATATATTGACACACCGTTTTGCTTCATAAATTTTGATTGACAAAGATTTTGACCTTTAATCCTCCAATTAGCTTACTAATACAATGATTAAAGTACCTTTTACATTGAGAAAAAGAGTCCCTTTGTACCTCTACAATTAAACAAAAACTCTACCCTGGAAGAAGGATACCCCCTCCCAACCCAACCCTACCCCACCCCTTTAGGCTCAAAAGAGTCTCACTGTTAATTCCTAATTTTCATTCTCCAAGGTTTGCAGGTGAGTAAGGCCTAAAATAAAAACTTGTTGTATTGCCCTTTGGGTGCCAAAACATGGGTCGGTCGGTCAGAATTTTTTTTTTGTCACCCTCTTTGGGCCGATATTTTTCAGTTTTTAATTTTTAATTTATTTTTTTCCCGCCCTCTTTTGGCTGATATTTCTCAGTTTTTAATGCTGTAATACATGTGTTTCAGCGTCATCATACCATTCATATCTTTTTCACCTCACAATAATCCATGGTTTGCAATGTTGTGTTGATCGAGATGTTTACGCTAGTAGGGTTTTGAAACTAGGGCAGAAGACGAGTGAGCATTTGGGAATGATTTGATTCTATGCATTTATATCCCATTTATCCCAACAAACAAAATACATATTTTTTTATTCATTAATAATAAAACAAACCCAAAAAACGGTCTACAAAAGAAAACCTTTTAAAAAATGCAGACCATAGATTTTCAGATTTTGGGGTCGGTCTCAAAGGGCAATACAACAAGTTTTTATTTTAGGCCTAATAAGTATCTCTTCCAAGCAATCTCTATTTGTTATGAGAATTAACCCATTTCCTACGGGAACCGAGTGGTCCCTGTATTAAGACTATGGGAATGCGAGAATCCAGTAGTGAACGAATTAAATACTCTTCACTAACATGCAAGCAAAAGTGACACAGTCTTCAGAATACAGTTCAAGGGATGCAGTGTCCAAGATATAAAAATTTATTATTTATTTATTCATTTTAAATGGTTTATTTCATTAAAAAATATTTGCGGCCCGAGAGCTAAATTGCAGTTTCTTTTACAAAGTATATATACATCAGTGACAAAGTAAAATTACACGTAAAACATTATGCATGGTAGCATTATGGTAGAAAAATTGGATAAAAGCCACCATTGGATATTCAACGCATTATTCACATTTTCAAGCGAATCTGTATTGGAAGAGTGGGTCTTTGAAAGTTTAAAACAGATCATCATCATCATCATTATTCCAGTTATCAGCCTCCAAGTAAAAAGTCTTTCTATCCAGGGGAGTGTCTCACGAATACTAAGATTTACTTTAAGTTGGACTAAACTATGGCAAGCCATTCATGCCACTGGTTGTTCTCACTATTGGTCTCTCAATTATGATCTTTATATATTTTTTCACAAAATTTCAATTCTGTAGATTTGTGACCATGATTTGTATGTCCCTTAAGAAATCAATTCCAGGAATGCTTAGAGGAACTAGTGGCATGAATGGCCTGCCATAGTTAAGTCCAACTTAAAGGCAATCTTAGTCTTTGTGAGACACCCCCTGGTGGCTTTTATCAAACGTTTGAATCTATCACAAGCTATTTACCTTGAACAGGTTGAGTGAAGGGTTGAAGACAGTCTTGATAATCTCTTCCAGGAATTCTTTGAAGACTCCATCTTGATCGATACCTGCTTCATCGAGACCCTGACAAAAAGATGAAAATAGAATAAAGATGACAGTAAATCGGTGAAACATGTAAACAAGACAAAGACCGCTCAAAAGAGACGAGAGAAGTGGGCTTAAAAGGCAGTTGGTGTTTTTTTTGACAGATTACTTTAGTACAGGCTTCAGTAGAAAACAATATTCAAAGGAAAAAGAATACATATGAATACATAATTTGGCATATTTTACCAAATTATCTGGTAATTTCAGGCTTTAAATCAAACCTAATAAGAAGATCAAACTTATGGAAATAACAGAACTTACGCTTGTTTTCTGTTTGACTTGTTATTACAAAATATTTATAAAAGCTTGGATAGCACTGTATCTGTACTATTAACAATAGTTTGGAGTTATGGATTATTTTCTTTTATCTTCTTTTATTTTTATTGGAGGTATTCTCTGTTCCAATCCCCTGTTCTTTAGACATTACTTTATGTTTCATTTAGTCTCCTAATCTTTATACCTGTTCATTGATGAAGTTCACTCTGATACATCCTTTCAGAGCCTGGGATGCCACGGATGCAAGCTGCTGATATCCATCCTAATGAGAGACAAAGGTCAAAGTTCATTGACATCGTAGAATTGGAAAATTGGAAACAAAAACAAATATTAAGTTGTACGGAGGGTGGTTGCCTAAGAGGTTGTTTCCCTATTAGCTAGTTGTCCAAGGGCGTAGTTATCAGGGGGTAGTAGTCTCTGGGTTATTTAAAAAGGGGCAGATTGTCCTGAGGGAGGGGGGAATTGTCCAAAGGGAGTATTTGTGTCAGGGCTGCTGTCCTAGGGGGGCAGTTGTCTGAAGATAGTTTGTCCTTGGGGTACGGCAGTTGTCAGGGGGGGGGGCACTTTCTTGAGAGTAGTTCCGGGCCCGTCTTATAAAGAGTTGATATTATTTGCTACTTATTATAGGAGACTGCAAACTTGTGATTGATTGGAGGACTTGCGATTGATTTGGATCAATCACAACTCTTTATAAGACGGGGCTTTGATATGCGTAATTGTTTGGAGTATTGGTCTTAGGGGTGTAATTCTCTTGAGGGAGGGGTCGTTAGGAGTCGTTAGGGGTCGTTTTCAAGGGGTAAATGTCCAACGGTACATTGATGGCGTCTAGGGGCAAGGAATAGCTTTCCTAGAAGTATTTCAAAAGGCTAGTTGAGAAGTGAATTTAAAACTATGTAAATCATGTGAGGATGTGTTCAAAGATAATTGACCAATGGAACTAAAGATGTATAAAAGTACTTGGATGTACTTAGGCCTTGTGGGGTGCGCCTGTAATCCAGCTAACAATGGAAGTTACAGACTGATTCAGCCGAGGACGCAGGTTCGAAATTGAGTCACGTCTTTCGGATGGTGACGTTTAAAGTTCGGTCCCCAGACGTAAATAATCATATCCGATTGATACACATCTGTAAAAATCCGAAACACACACACACATTTGAAACTCACCTCTACAAGCCTAGATCTATGTACTGTGATGTACGTTGAGTGCGGCTGGGACATAGGAGACTCGGTATAACCCAACGATTTCTTCTCATCGCTTACTCGTTTCCTGAATAGAATCACTCTCTGGAAGAACAAATTCAACAAAAGTGTAAATGATAACTACTGTCAAGAGTTAAACATGTAAGTAGTTCATCTAGTAGTACGACTAGTAGTAGACTGCTTTTACATACATATGCATCATGTAAATCATGCACAAGATATACCTACATAATATATTTCTAAATAATCAAGACATGCAATAATTCAAGGTTTAAGTGCTTAATCAAAGGGCATACACTTTTCATAAGCATGTGTATGCAATGTAACAAAATGTATTACCACGTGTATATGTAATCAAATCGAATTTCCCCACCACATTTAAGAATAAGGTTAGACTACAATGACATTCATTTTAACAAACTTGTAAATCATGTTAACGCACTGACTACTGAATTCATTCAATACCATAGGCTCAGTACAGGGGCCACTCAATTCCATTAGGCAATATGGGTTAACTGTCTAAATGAGAGTACGTGCATGAAGATTTGTAATATCATTGGCTGAGAGCTAGGGAAAAGCCCTAAATACCCTGTTGGCTCTCAGGAAATGAAATATTGACTTTTATAAACATGAATTGATATTCATCGCGTACGTTGATCTTCCCAGAACTGAGGGAAATGCGTCCATTTACAAAATATTCAATTTGTGCGGAAGTCATAGAAAATTTGACATCAAGTCTGGAATACAGGGTCGATGGCGTATAGTGATACAAAATTGGTGCATGGCGCATGCTTTGACAGTGATTGATTTCGTCCAACTTTGGCGATTTTAATTTAGTGTATTTTTGTTGGAAAGGTCCTGGGAATTTGATCAACTTAGGCGAATATTTGACTTACAAAATTTGACTAATACAAAGATTTAACACACGTTAGTCTATGATGAAAAATTTAGACTTTTTTTTTCTCCATCAACTTACGCAGTTATTCGACATATATGAAGTTGACTTTAGTGAGGTTATCTGTAGTCATACTTTCTCACTAGTTCTATCTTTCATGAATAACTCACCTCTCTATGTGGAATGATATGAGGTATCTTCTGGAGGATCAGATCTGCTCGCTTGGAGCTCTTCTCCAACTCGGACTTGAAGGTGCTCATCTTCAGGTCCCTGAAAGTCAATACCAAGACAAAAACACTTTCTTTAGATTGATTAAAAGTTGCTCGGTCATACATAGTTAGAATAAAATAGCGGGAAGATGTGATATTCATGAATCAATATTATTGATAGTGTCTGTGAAAAATATGAGTCACATATATCCAAATCACATAGTATCCTGGAAATGAAGAGAGGGAAGGCATCTTCATAAAGATAGAGATAGAAAGAGGAAGAGAGAGAGAGAGAGAGAGAGAGCGGGATAGGGAGGGAGAGAGAAAGAAAGAGAGAGAGAGAGAGAGAGAGAGAGAAAGAGACCTCAGGCATACTGCCAAACTGACATTAGAATGACTCCAAACCGACCAATTCTTGGCCATAGACATTTAATGTAACACTTTCGTTGGGTCTGTCGTCAGTCTTGTCTGTGTGACTAAGGTAAGAGAGAGAGATAGAAGGAGGGAGGAGAGGATGGAAGGGGGTGGGACTGAATCTTTCTTATTGCTTACTTGACAAGCCAATGGGCAGGAGTAGCAAACTGTCTCCTACAATCTTTATCAAAGAGCAGCATCAGTAAGGTATGCGTGGAGTTGAACAGACTCTGTAGCTTAGGATTCTCATCTGCAAAGACAAACAAAAGAAAGGAATATATGCATTACCAAAATGAGACAGGTAAAGGATTTAAGATTACAATAGTTCTGTCATTTGAAAAAACTTTGATTTAAAAAAAAAAAATATCCTACATGTACATCTATGTCATTATCAACCTTTAGGCAAGGTTTTAAACAGCTCATTACCATTCAAACATAATAACATATTGAAGTACATGTATGTTTGTAATTACCTATATTCTCCCTTTTCATTAGATAAAGCAGAGGTTTCATTGCCACAATACAAAAATATACTCATGAATAAATTCATTAATGAAAACTGTAAAGAAATTAAAAAAAATAATTTTGAGCTTTATTTACCCAAGTTGTGCTCCCATATCACCTTGAAGACAAAGAGGTTGAGAAACGAAGACACGGCCAGAAGATCATCAGGATGAAACGGAATCTGCTGATCGTAAAACTCTCCATCATCTAAAATTCTATAGTCAAATGCAAGAAAAAGTTTGAAATCTTGAATTACTATCAGAGCAGCTAGGCAATTTTCAAAATGTCTTGCTCTTAAAACAACTTTATAAGTGTTTTAGTGTTTACTAGTGTCTTACAAGTACAATTTAGAGGAGCAACAGATTCAATAAAATTTTGTCTGTTTTAAAGATCTAATGTCTTTAAGATCCTGAAAATGTAATACAGGTGTCTTGAACATTAAATGGTATGCAGATCTATGTCTAAATATCATTGTAAAGCCATTAATATTCAATCAACATTACTCCATATTTATGTATTCATATATCATTATTATTATTTTTTGGATTGTATGATTGCTCATATACTGTCATTACTGTGGTGTGTTGTTGTTAATAAATTCAATTTAGTTCAATCCAATTCAATCAACTGTTCACTGAATATCTATTAGTCTATTGTATTACAGGGAGTGTGTTAATGGCACGATTGATTCTAGTGTTGTATAGTGTATGCTCCAGTCCTATATTTTGACACTTCTCTTCTAGCGATGAGTAGCTAGCAATGGCAATATCAGATAAACTTGATTTCAAAGGGAATTAATTGCATGCATTAGGGCTTAGGCACAGCACTCGGTGGGCACAAGGGTTAAAGGGGAAGTCCACCCTGATATGAAACTGGTTTAAGTACTAGCAGAAAAATGACATGAATAGGTCAGTGAAAGTTTGAGCAAATTCTGATTAAAAATAAGAAAGTTATACATTTTGAAAGTTCTGATCAATCAAACACAAATTTGTAACACTGTGACATTGATACCTTCAATTCCTCTCCAATTTGCTCTGCACACAACATTTCAAATCGACGGAATCCTTTTTTTCCCTCCTCCATACAGGGGTTGAATAGAAACATATTTGCAATAATTATATTTAGGGTGCATGTTTGATTGAAAATTGATATCAGGGGTGGACTTCCCCTTCCTACTAGTCATGAAAGGTTGACTTACGCAATGAGATAGCTAGCACTGTCACAGAACAGCATGAGCACGGAGAGTATTGATTGCTGGTCGGAGGGACTGTTAGCCAAACAGTCCTGGAACACTCTAAGACCACCATGAGGACCAAGCTCTGCAATGAACTTCCACAGTCTGGGCAGGAGCAGGTCCCGGTAACTTAGTCCTAAAAGTAGTAGGAACAACAAAGCACAATAATGCTTCAGACATAACATCTAAATGCCCCTCTTCACTACTTGTAGCTACTTGTGCCCCCTTTATAGCAAACAATGCAGAAGCGGTACCTGTTGGTCCCCATTGATCCCCTTTTTCTTATGTTGAGAGCTGATTTGATGAGATAACCACCTGTCAGTGACCATGCAGAGAGGTCTAATCCCTCCTGGCTAAACTAGTGCAGACAGGCTTTAAGCCCATGGCACAATATATGCTATCCTTCTGCGATCTGATTTTCAAAGATATCACAGTTGTATTTGATATGGAAATTTCAACAAATATCATCTCCATACCGGTAATTGAGTCTCTGAAGAATGATAAGAATACTACTAATCAAACTATTTTTTTTTCTTTCTTTCTTTCTAAATCACACCTCTTTCTTTGTGTCTTCCATTTTCCTTCCATAAACTTTCCTTATTTCTTCCTTCCATCCTTCTTCCATCCCTTCATCCATCCATCCGTCCTTCCTTACCCACGTCCATCCTCCTTTTCTGACCACCCCCCCCCCCCCCTTCTAACCACTCCCTCCTTGTTTGTAATTTACCTGTGAGTATATCTCTCCTCAGCTCTGTCAATGTACTGAGTGCAGTCTGATACATGGAACATAGAGAACACACTAAGATGACTTCTTGTGAGTTGAGGCTCTTGCATGACTTGTGGTTTCCAAGCTTCGATGTCATACGTTGCAGCTTCTTCAGTAAGTTTCCACCTGTACAGAAAATGATGCCAAAGAAGTATTGATAAAACAACATTTTTATTAAAGCAATGTGATTAACATGTATTGTCTCAACTATCACAAGCATTGCTGTGATCATCCTCCTCCTCTTCCTCCTCCTCCTCATATCACTATTACTAACACCATCATCATTACCACCACTTTGATCATTATAAATAAAAAAAATAATGATCACCATCCTCTTCAATCATCAACATTGTAATCGTCATCATCATCTTTATAATCAAAATTATCATCCTAGTCATCACCTACAGCATCATCACTGTTTCCATCATCATCATCATCATCATCATCATCATCATCATCATCATCATCATCATCACCATCAGTCATCATTATCATCATCATCATCACCATCATCATCAGTCATCATTATCATCATCATCATCATCATCATCATCATAATCATCATCATCATCATCATCATCATCATCATCATCATCATCAGTCATCATCATCATCACCATCATCATCAGTCATCATATCATCATCATCATCATCATCATCATCATCATCATCATCATCATCATCATCATCATCATCATCATCATCATCATCATCATCATCATCATCATCATCATCATCATCATCATCATCATCATCATCATCATCATCATCATCATCATCAGTATTACCATCCTCCTCTCTTTTCTCCTCCTATTTTTCATCATAGATTTTATTTTAAAAAATGAATTCTATTTTTACATGGTTTAATATATGAGTTTGTAAGTGATATACACAATAATTTGACAAAAACATAGGACATTCATTCATGGGTAATAGTATTGACATCAAGTATAAGCCACTACACTTTCATCATCACAATCTCCTTTAGTATATCAATATCATCATCATTTAAATACATGCAACCATCATTTTCATCTTTGTAGAGATGTTGGGATCTAGTGGATACGTCATTGGACTATGGATCGCATGGTTCATGGTTCAAGTCCCACTGCAGTACCAATGTTCTTTGGCAAGACACTACATTTGCCGCTCTCCACCCAGGTGTTGAATGGTTCCTGGTAGGAGGTGAACAATAATGTGATTGGCATGTGTGCACTTGGAAAACGGCGCCTGGCCGGAATACTCCCCAGGGAGCAAAGCAGGTACACTATCTTGATTGGCAATTGAATCCGATAACTGGGGTAATTATAACTAAAATATTATAAATGCTTAGAAACATAGTAGTAAGCACTATAAAATGTGACTAATATTATATTAAAGATTAAGGCGAGTTCTGGTAATGCGAGGCATTGTGAAAGAAAAGTTGTGGAATGGATCAGAAACAGTTGATCATGTAGCATGTAAGTATTGGTGTGCACTGCAAGGTTCTGGAGTGATCAAAATCATAATAAATTTGGCCGAGTCTTGGTAAAGTAACAAGCACTGTACACAGAAAGCTATATATGGGACAACACACATGGTGTCGGGGCTAGTACTACCTTGATTTCCTTGTCTTTCTATGCCCATTACTCAGCCAATATACATTTCTTCCAAAAATTGTTTGGCAAATGTCATTTATTTGTAATCTTGAACATTCAGTGTAAGTTTCGTTTGATTCTGTGAGAATTAATTTTCTTTTTTTTACCAGAACTGGAGTTTATCTTTAATGCATAGCTCTACCTCTAGTTGGAGTCTTTCCCTCTGTATGATTGGAGACCTCCTCTGGTTGCAGTCCTTTCAACACCCCTAGAACACAGGTAGGAAGTATGGTCTGGCCCCAAAGATGCTGTAATTGCTGTTGCACAAATCCCATGGCCTCTTGTAACCTGCAATGACAAATAATAATAATAATAACAATAATAATATGCTGTCCTTTATATCACATTATGTACAACGTCCCTATGCGCTCACAAAGGACTTTGGATATCATTACCCCGGCCTTAGCTACGGTAACCATACCACATAGAGAATTCCATGAATGAATCCGACCAGGTACCCATTTATTACACTTGGGTCAGACAGATCACTGAGATCAGGGTAATACCTATTCCATTCTGTGCCACTAGTTTACCAATAATCGCCAATCAGATTGCACACCAATTTCCTTTCAATTTCTATTCTTTGCATAATCAGGGAATGGGGCATAAACTGCCTTCCTGGGGAACACATGTATATATGCACCTGCACAACAAGAACAAAAAGTTAAAATGTTGAATAACAGGATATGTGAAAGTCTCCACGTATACACACACAATCAGTACGTTTATCTTCATCACCTTGAAGCAGCACTTACACTGGAAGAAGAAGAACGATCTTCAATAAAAAGGGTCATCATTGAAACTTTTAGGCAGGGTTGCCACTCACAGGATGCAAAATAAATAACAGTTTAGATATCCGGTATAGCTAGAGGATTACCAGTACCCAATATAAATCTATCAATAGAGGGAAAACATACATACTGTAAGGCTTTAAAAAAATTTATGTCAGCTTGGGTACATTATAGCGACATATTATGAAAGTCTAGCTATGCCATACCTGCCAACATTTGAAAATGAGAATTTTTAGCAGGGTACGTCTTCGAAAATAAGAAATCTGGACCCTTAACAGGCGTTTGCGCATGCAGCGGCAGTGTAACTGGCAATACGCGGTAAATCTGTGCAAAAAGCGAATACAAATTCGCTGTTCAATCATGCAGCCCTTCAACGCACGCAATACGTGAACTCTCACATCGCGGCATATGATAAAACAAGCTTAATTTGGCTTAATAAGCAACACAAAAACAAACAAAAATAAATAAATAAAAAATAAAATCGAAATTTTGAAAAAACAGAATATTCCGGATTTTGGGGTCCTAAAAATCCAGAAAAACTGAATATTCCGGATTATTCGGAAGGGTTGGCAGGTATGCTATGCCAGTCCTTGGACACAACATGTATATCTCATAATTATAAACTTGTACTGATTTGCAACATTATGACTGACCTGTTATCAAAGGGCTGTGAGAACCAGCCTAATACAGGATGCCATGATGTAGTGTTGGATTTCTTCTTTCCAACAAATGCCTGGCAGTGGTTCAACAATGTAGTTGTCACATTCTACAAAGAAAATGTACAAAGAAAATATTAAACATCTCATTATCCATATTTAAAAGGATACAAATGGGTGATACCGAAATGGCAGTTGTATGTTTTGACACATCCATTTACAGGAATGGAAGAGATAGATGAAAATAAAGAAAAGGGAGAAATTGGCAACACACAAATACAAACGAAAATTACCTTTTATCCTGCATTTCATTTGATCATGAAATATGAACAATAAAACATCCATCAGTTACATTCCCCCTCCCCCCCCCCCCACATATATCAGTTACGTTCCCCTGCACAATCCCAATCAGTTTTAAATAAAATAATAATCTTTTAGTCCACTCCAAATTTTATTAAACCGAAAAGAAAATTCTTTTTGCCCAATTGATCGACATTGCTCTATCCCTTATTGCTGAACGCTAAACAAGGTAGCAGCAACTCCCATCTTTTAACGTCTTTTGGTATGACGCGGCCGGGGATCGAACCCACGACCTCCTGGTTGTGAGGTGGATGCTCTACTGACTGAGCCAACACTCCGGTTATACCGGGAGGAGAGACCCATAGGTTACAGTGATTCAATTGATTTTTCTCTCCCAAGCACAAGCGACACCTAAAAATTATAATAATATGCCTTTTTAATGATTCAAACAATTACTATTGAACTCTCCGGAAATGCTTCTTTTTATTCATACTAAAAAACACATTTCCTGTACCATAATATAATCACCACTTCATACATACTTTGTTGGAGATTGAACAAAGGCATGTGTAAAATTAAAATGGGAGCTGATAATTAAATCTAAACAATTCTTCTGGCTCATGCCATTAAACAAAGGTATTAGCAATTAATTCTATGAAATTACAGCAATCTTACATAAAATCATCAGATTGCCTATTAATGAAACTTACCATGAACAGTTGTAGATTACTTTTGAGACTCTGTACACACAATGAAACCAAAAAGTAAGCAGGTCTAAATGAGTATAGCATTCATAAAACCAGCTCAACAAAATTGAAAGAATAAAAATAATGTAGTAGTCCAAATCAGTGAGTACTTTGTAAATGAATTGGAATCGATGGAAAATGTATATAGATTTGTTTTTCCTTTTTAGTATCCAATAAAAAATGATTCAGATACTTAACAATGTAATTCATTTTAACACATGTGAATTTTAGATTTTAAAGGAATTCTTTTTCTATTATTCTATTTTCAGGCCATGGAATTATCTATAAATGATATGTAAACCAAGATAATAGTCTCTGTTTTAGGAACGTTTCTTGGCATGTTCATGGATAATCTATTCATCATATTCCCTGGAATCCAAGCATTCGAATTGAAACTAGATACATATTAGATATATTACAAATAGAAATAAAATTCTTGTCCTAAAATTGTTACGATTTGCAAACTACTTGTTGGAAGCTGTAAACCAAAGTACCAAACTACATGTGAATAACAAACTACATGTATATGTGAATACATTAAAATACTTACTTCGTTATCCAGATGAGCTAAGTGAACCATGTTGGCTAAATGAAGACAAAATAGAAAAGACTTTATTAGGAAAACATTATAACAAATTAGTTAATAAAATCTAAACTTTATATGAAACATGAACCTTGAAACTATGAGAAGGGATGAAATGATAAGCATACCTGGCAGGCTAGCAGTGTCCATATAGTATGGAGCACATGTTCTTCCTAATCTTGTAAATTAACTACAGAAGGACATTAACTCTGTGTTAAAGTATACAAGTTAATGCCTTTCTAGCTCCAAACAAATAACATGTAAGTTTGGACCTTCGTTTTCATAACCTTCAAAAGAATTGAGATTGAGTTTTCCTTTTTCACAACTTTCAAAATGTTGGAATTCTTAACCTGTAACTACTGAATTGTATAGGTCCCATAGGCTTAACACAGGGACCACCAGGTTCCCGTAAGCAAAGGGTTAATTATGATACAGGCTCCTCAACAGCTAGCACATGTATGACATATAAAACCCTTGACAAAGATGGTTAGATTGGTTTATGTTTTGTTTTTTAATCAGGCAAGGACCATCAAACTTGCAGAACTGAACCTGTTCTATTTACAAAGTGAATATAAATAATATGTAGAGGTGTTGTAACGGGTTGCTGTTTGGAATGCCTGATTCTCTGATATTAAAGTTACAAAGAGTCCAAAATGCATGTGCAAGACTTGTCTATCGTCGGTCGAAATTCACTTCAAACGCACCTCTTCTGAGAGAGCTCCACTGGTTGCCAGTCTGTCAAAATTTTGTTAATATTTTATAAATCATTGAGTGGTCAAGCTCCTAGTTACATAACAGAACTACTTCAACTCAAAGTCCAGTCACACAGTCGTAGCCTGCGCAGTTCCACCGATAAATTATTGTTCCAGATTCCCCATGGCAAAACTAAAGCAACTCTCGGGGACCGTGCTTTTGCTATTGCTGCCCCCAAACAATGGAATAGCTTGCCAATAGAAATATGAAGCACTCCATCTCTCAATGTCTTCAAATCAAAATTAAAAACATATTTGTTCAATTGAGAGATCCTATTTTGTAGAATTTAGTAAAAAGGAGCTCTGAACCAGCGCAGCTGAATATATTTTGTATAAAAGCTGCGCTATATAAGTTTATTATTATTATTATTATAATTATTGTGGTAGGGTGGAATAGTCTCCAGACTTGTAACCACAAGGTAAGGGGTTCAAATTATAGTTCAAATCCCTGTTGCAGCACTAATTCCCTTCGGCAAGACATTACTCTACATTTGACATACTAGACCCAGGTGAGGTCATTTGGTACCTGGCAGGAATAAATTCCTTGAAATGCCTGAGCACTGTAATGGCAGCCATGCTAAAGCTGGAGAGTGATAAGGGAGTGCAAGGAATGGCAATGTGTAAGACAGTGCAAGACAGTGGCGTACGCACGACTCAGCCTACCGCTGAATAAGTGGGGGGGGGGACGGGGGGTAAGAGGACACTTTTTTTTCTTTTTTTTTTTTAGGTCAAAAAAAAAAAATTGCAACGACTTAGCCAGCCGCTGAATAAGTGGGGGGGGGGGGGATAAGAGGACATTTATTTTTTTTTTTGTCCCAAAATCTGAAATTTTGACCCTTCGACATTCCGTTCCGTTGGGGAGGGGGGGTAAGGTCATCTTTTTTAGGTCATCAATAAGATTTTTTTTAAATTTATTTTTTAAAAAAATAAATAAAAAAAAAAAATCTAAAGAGGGGGGGGGGGGGGGGGTTTCCAAAAACATACATAAAAAACTCATGTCTTGCACCAGGCGTTTAACCACCCCCCCCCCCCCTGCGTAAGCGCCTGGTGCAAGACATGAGTGCTATACAAGACTCCACGATCATTACATTAGTTTTCCATTCCTTGCATGGCTCTGCTCCTTCCTACAATATGAAGTTGATTGTTAAGTATAAGCCTACAAGACATCTTCGTTCATCTAAATCCTCCTTATTAGTTGACCCTAAGATGGGCAGTTCCTGGGGGGATAGAGCCTTTTCTCATTCTGGTCCGTCCCTTTGGAATAATCTACCACTTAGTATTCGTAGCTTAACAGCCCTCCACGACTTCAAAGTTGCTCTAAAAACTCATCTCTTTTTAAACAGTTCTATTCAATAATAATGACAATTATAATTGCGGCATAATCATTTGTGTTATTTTAGTTTACCTTTATTTTTAGTAAATCCATATTATTATTATCATTACAAAGTTCGGTCAAAGTTCCGTCAATAGAATAATCAACTTCTTCTTCCTTTTCTTCTTCCTTTTTGAGTACAGACCTCTTTACAGAGTATTATCGTACTATACTGGGGGTGTGTGCAGGTGGACCACTACACCGGGGTTTCCCCCTAGTCTTATACGAATAGTGCAGTGGGTTCTTAACATGCAAAGGTAGTGACTATTCTCTACACGGGGCCTCCATTTAACGTCCTATCCGAGGGACGGAGTGTTTTCCACTTGACATTACCTGCATCTATGAACAAGGGAAGGGGCACGTTAACACACAAATTACCAAGAAGGCAGAGGGAGTAGGTAGCATCTACCATGGAGAGGATGGTCCTGCAACCTCCTTCGGTGCTAAGGTACTTCAGGCAATGAGGCAAGAGGGCGTTGTTTTTCATCGCTGTCAGCGTCTGGCAAAAAAAGACATACAATCATTTTCAAGCTCTGGCCCTGAACTGTGGAACTCACTCCCTCCTCACCTCCGAAATGAGAATTCCTACTCACTGTTCAAGTCTTTGTTAAAAACGTTTCTGTTCTCAACATATTAGTTTGTTTAATTATGTCTTACATTGTACTACCCTTATATAACTTGTATTACTGTAATATGCTTTGTATTGTATTGCATTATTGCAAATTATGTCCTGAAGTATGTTAAACTGTAGCTTATATGTATTTTACTTTCTTTCTTGAATTACTTGCCCACAATCATACAACTTCCACACAACTGTGCCAGGAGTGTCATTTTTGACAGACATGGCGCATTATAAATGTTCACTATTATTATTATTATTATTACAAAGAGGCCTACATATCAGCTTTGAGTTCAGAATCTCACAATAAAATTGTGTCATATAACATACAAGATGGCTTACGATGGCCTCTGAGAGGGGACCTATAGCCGTTGATCTCTAGCTGCTTACTAACAAGCATTAATGCTTTCTTGGCAGTCAGTTAAAATAACCACCAACACAAAAATATATAAAGATACCTTTCTGCGAATCGGATGATCCAGTATTAAGAGCTCGGAACCAATTCATAAATAACTAGCTAAATTCACATGTCTTATAAATAGTGGTGTTGAATATATTATGAATGCTATTAAAAGGACACCTTTTTTCTCTTTATTTCTGTCTTTATTATTTGATTTTCTCTTACTTCTGCTTTGGCTGTTGAGAGATGGCTGACCAAGCCTGGTACAGGGAGTATGTGAGAGATGAAGATGCACAGGAGATTGGACGAGAAGCTACCGGCTACAAGAGGCCTGCAAACAAATGAACAGACAGACAGACAGACAGACAAAGAAATGAACAAACAGACAAATTAACACATCTGGGGGGTGTTTCACAAAGATCCCAAGTCGAACTTAACTCTAAGTTGGACTTAAAAATTATGGACAGCCATTGGAGTCTTAAAATGAAATATATTCAAAAGCAGAAATTCAAGTATTTTAGATTTTTTTATAAATTCCACATCAAGAGCATGAAATCTCCTTGATAATAGAAAATTATGATTGATTTGAATCAACATTTTATGCCTTATAAAAAAACTTTTAAAAAATATTTTCAAAGATGCTAATGGCTTTCCATAATTGTTAAGCCCAACTTAGAGATAAGTTCAACTTAGGATCTTTGTGAAACACCCCCCAGGTGATCAACCATTCGCCAAGAGACAATGAGCTAAACATTTCATAGTGGACATGCTTCAGCTGTTCTTCATTTCCCACAAGAACAGGTATCAAAACTTACATAGACCAAATTTCTACTTCTCATGAAATTGTAGGCATCTGAAATTGTAACGTATAAACTGGGTTAATATTGTATAGAGGGGCGACTGTCAAGTGGATAATTCTCCTGTTGCGGGCACAGGTTTAGGGCACAGAAAATGTATGACCGACAACAACTAGATTGAGAGATTCATGTATGTCATTGCATAAATAACGTTAAAAATATCATGAAGAGACAAATATATCATCTGACCTACATTGCAAGGATTGTAAGCAATGTCTTGCATGGAGCTCCATTATGGTTGGGAACAAGTTCAGTAAGACTTTCATGAGAAAATAATTATTACTTAAATCAGTGATAACTAAATAATGTCCAAAAATACAATTGCTTCAACCCCAATGGAAATGCACACAAATTGCATCAGAAACAAACTTGATAAGGTTTGAAGGATCATACATACCGCCATGCTACAACCATGGTGGCATTGAGGACGGTTGGTGATAGAGCTGGCTGTCGCTTTGTCAGGCCTTCCTTGAGCAAGGTATGGATGACAGGATACAGCCCTTTGGTGACGAGGTGGCCCATGACATTGGAACAGATCTGCCCCATGCTGGCTCGTAAAGCATCAGCTAAAATAGAACATCATTAAAATAAATGAAGGAATGTGAAAATAATTTAAAAAATAATGCCTCCGATATAAAAAAAAAAATAATGCCTCTGACATATGCCACAGGCATTAAACTGTTAGTATAGACCACTTCTGAATTATAATCATAACTGAAAAACTGCATAATCATTTTTTATGGCAGGGTGATCTTAATTTGCAGAGCTGCCAACCTTGTGCGACCAAAAAAAGGAATCATGATGGCAAAAAAAAAGAAATTTCAAGCAACAAAAAGGAATTCATAAAAACAAAACTTACAACCACGCGTGACACACTTCCAATGCAGAAATGTTCATTCATCATGCTGTTTTTTCCATACAAGGAGGAAATTTTTTGGGTGGTTATTTTGGTATCGACATTTCATTCTTTTTGAGAATATTTTTCTTTTCAAGTATGTTTTAAATTTAGTTCTCTATTGAACTTGTGACCAAATCACCATTTTAAGGCAATTGTTTGATGTGTGGTATGTAAAAAATAAAAAAAATATATAAAAAATATTTTAAAAAATTAAAAAACTTAATACCGTAATTTGGAGGGAAAAACGGAATGGTTGGCAGCTCTGAATTTGCAAATCACTTTTCTTCAATTTGTCATTTGTTGTTTCACAAACTGATATGTATGTTACCTGGCTGAAGAGAAAATATTACAGACAAAGCATGTAGCTTATTGGTACACAACATTTACAACACTGCAAAAATAATTTCAATACTATGAAGAAACTTTACCTTTTGGTATCTGGAATATTTTCCATGTTGCAGTGTCCGTGAAAGTGATGAGCATGTGTAGATGAAGGGCAATGCTTTTGGCAGCTATTGGCAAGTCCGGCTGTATAACAATTCAACAACAAAAATCACATTATACATACATGTACAAGTACAACAATAGTTTTTTGTAATTTCATTCAATAAAGCAAATTATATACCTCACTTAAGAAATCCAGCCATCTGATTGGTCGAATTGCATTCATAAACTTCAACTGTTCCTGTAAAATTCTCGGTAACCATGCATAAAACATTTCAATATTTTTAATAACCATGGTTATTAAAAAAAGTTGGTCAGCCTCCATGGTTACCCCATAGGTTTACATGTTAAAAATGGTTTGAGCGATGGAGGATGCCGTATGTGTGCGAAGGATTGGTCGGTAATTTCAATACAATTGAATCTCGATCGATCTTACCGACAATTTTATCTTGCATTGTTGACATGAAGACGAAAATAAACTTCCAAAAACAAAAAAACAACATCTGCCGATAGATCTTGATCTAAGTTCGTGCCAATATGCATTGCAAAAGTAAAAGAAGAGTCCGTATATGGAGCTTTTGCGAAGCATTCATCACACGCGAAGCCGGTTTCAATCCATTTTAATGTATATATTGGAGAAAACTGCCAAGCATGTTAACGGCGGGCCATAGCCGAGTGGTCTAAGCGTTGGTTTTCGGTACTCTTGTTGTACGCAAGAGTTCGAATCCCGTCTTCGACAAAAATGATGAATATCTTTAATTTTTCATTTTTTAGTCTATTTTTTTTTGGCATATAAAAGTATTAATGACTGCTATTATTAAAAACAACATCTGCCGATAGATCTTGATCTAAGTTCGTGCCAATATGCATTGCAAAAGTAAAAGAAGAGTCCGTATATGGAGCTTTTGCGAAGCATTCATCACACGCGAAGCCGGTTTCAATCTATTTTAATGTATATATTGGAGAAAACTGCCAAGCATGTTAACGGCGGGCCATAGCCGAGTGGTCTAAGCGTTGGTTTTCGGTACACCTCTTGTTGTACGCAAGGGTTCGAATCCCGTCTTCGACAAAATTGATAAATATTTTTCATTTTTCATTTTTTAGTTTATTTTTTTTCGGCATATAAAAGTATTAATGACTGCTTTAATATTCGAGAAATAGTTGTTTTCATACGCTCTCGGGAAGGTTAGAATTGGGCTATTCCCCTCGGCAAGCCTCGGGGAATAGCACAATTCTAACCTTCCCTTGAGCGTAATAAAACAACTATTTCTCTCAAAGCAGTCATTAATACTATAGTATGGCAAGAACATTCAAATGTGAAGGCCCCTCCAATGAAGTCTGTATTTCACATTTGCTGAAACAGCGAGGTTTTGAGACATGATTAGAAGTATTCCAGAATCTAGACTGTCAAGCTCATCGAGATGGGAATGGAGGGAGTTCCACAAATGACCAATGGATGAGCTGTTTCCATTATCCTTTATATACATGTTAATTTGATACAGGTATCAATAAGAGACACTGTTTCTAGATGAAATGAAAATATGGTCTTTCTAGACGGTTGATCATTTCATACAGGTGGCAGGTTAGTTTAATTGTATTAATAATAATAATAATATTTAGCTTTATATAGCGCTTAATACAAATGTCTCTAAGCGCTTTACAAATAAACTATTACCCAGGTCATTGGATTCAGTGCTTGCCCGCACACACTGTGTGCACAATCTCCACTCCTTGGGGAGCATTCCAGCCAGGCGTTACTTGACGCTCAAAAACTGTTTGACCAACAACGACGGTCGCATCCTACCAGGTACTCATTTAACACCTGGGTGGAGAGTAGCAAGTGCAGGTTAATATCTTGCCAAAGGATATTAGTGCCGTGTCGGGATTTGAACCCTCCACCTTCGCATCTCCAGTCAAGCGCCTTGTATTCCACTCAGGAAGATTATGACTCACATGATATAAATATTGAAGCCACACAGTTGTAAATTTCCATGTGTCCATTGTGTCAGAATTCGCTGACACCAAAATTTGTTGTATTATCAACTAATGTGTGGCACTGAGCAAAACTGAGACCCATCAGAAGATTACTCCAGCTGGCCTTTAAATCTCAAGGGTGGGGGAAATTTATTACAACAATATTTAATTATGCAGTGATTGGTGAAGTCGCAGTGCATTGCATTTTTAAAAGTACCTGTTGTTCATAAAAGTGAAGTCCACTCTTCGTGACTTACAACAAATCTGTTATTCGGTTGACGACCCAATGGTGGCAAATTATCCATGAGAACCAACGACCATGGGTCTTGAATATCTGCACCCTGGATCCTAAACAACCTTTCTAACAAACATATTCTACATGTTATTACCTTGAGTTTTTTTAGTTGTGATGCACAGAGCCACAGTATCTGTTTGAGTTGTTGTATCCATGGCAACACATATTCTTTGGTGAGAGCTAGTGAAACATACCAAACCTTGAATGACAAAAAACAAAATGGAATTGCTTTCGATGAGTATATAAATTTTCTTCTTAAAATACTTATAATATGGTTTCTTCTAATATACCTAGAAATTAATATGTTCCTCTCTTTCATTCTATTCATTTAAAAATTGAAATTTCTCTATCTATTCAGGATGAGTACTGGTGGATAAACTGTGTGCTATCTTGATGACGTATTACTTTATAATTGATTAATAATTCTTGCATATAAATTCAGGATCTGGGTATTATAACAATATCTCACTTAACTCACTTGATTGAGTACATCAAATTAATTCAACTAAATATCATGGATGACTTCAGACGCATTTTCATTCTTTGTTTGCAAGTTTGGTGATTTTAGAGTGAACTTGATATGTTACCACAATTAAATTATGATTCACATTTACGATGCAAAATCACATATCCTTCTTTTATTCCTAATAAATTGTTGGTATAGTATTGTAATGTATTATCATATATGCAATTCGTTTTTATTTGTAAAAAACAAATGTACACTTCAGCCTAGGCCTAGGCTGCAAGACAGACTTTGAATAAATATATACCATTAAATTAGTGAAATTTAAACATCAGTAGAAAATGATCCGTGCTAACTCTAATTAAAAAACTATCATGTCAAAACAAAAAATAAAACATTGAACATATTTACCTTTGCATCTTTACTGGATTCCATACTAGCAGTCAGATATCTGCATATCTTTTCAAACCTCTGTGATACATTAAAAAAGAAGCATAAAGAATCTCGTCTATTATTGCTAATTCCAAATAACAATAAACAGAACACTGAATATAACAAGCCTAAAAATTATAAGGAATTTGTAAGAAACATAAAACTGAACTCTCCCAACGTTAGCATCAGGAAATTGCATATATTTTGATAATTTTGAATTGCATTTTGCTTGATAATTAATCAAAGCCTCGGAAGGGATAATGAGGATGCAGCTCCTGTGTATCTTTATCTCTTACAAAATCCCTATCCTAAGCTTTTTCAGCTATCTCTCCTCATCTCGGAGAAGGGCTTATGACCACAGTTCACCCTTCGACGTTGTCAAACCCAGTATCATCAAAGTTTCCTCCTGCCACCCACCATCTAGCAGTGGAATAGACTCCCCCAGGACATCATTGAGGCCGATACAATTGACATCTTTGTATCTAGCGTCTCAAGACGGGAGAATCACCCAACTAGAAACAATTTTTTTTCTTTTTTTAAACTCACTAAGATAAGTCAGTTAATTCAACAAGAAAACAAATTTCTGCAATGTGTAATGTCTACCTCCTATAAAGAATAATCAACTTGTATATTGCGGTCACTCATCAGGAAGAAGAAGAAAAATTACAACACTTAAAAATATAACCAAAATTTACCCAAATAAGTCTGATATTGCTTTCACTTTGTCATTGTTACCACGACTAGTCCACTACACTATTTAAACCAAGTAATTAGATTGTTTACAAAAAATTATATACATAGTGCTGTAACACCAATTTCAGGTTTTTTTGTTTAAGCTGTTGATATACTGTTTTGGAGCAGAAATATGACTATTCTTCTTGATTTGAAAGCTGAATATGAAACAATTGCATTTCCATCAATGATTACAATCTCATGTATTTCTGCTCCATATTTCTATTAACTTTTCAAATATTCTGTTGGGTGAGATTGTAACTTCAGAAAAACGTACCTAAGCATATAGATGCTAACATTTCAGGAGAAAAAATGGTTTCATCAAGATCACTGTATGAAAGTTACCTGAAAAGCTTCTGTCTCTATTTTGGTCCGATGGTTTTAGAAATAACAGGCATGAAATGATGATACAACACTAAACAGACACACCAGATTAGAAGATCAAATTACCTTTAAATCCTTCTTCTCATCATAGATATAGAGGAATCTCTTGATAGCAATGTATACTTCAGCAGCTGGGAAAAAGCAGAAATACAGACATTGTCATCTTTAAATGTCAAAACTGATGTTTGCAATAGCTTCAGAAGGCCTTTCTTTACAGGTGGTTGCTAAAGCAAATACAGGAGACTTACCATTAGTGTTACTTCACTTTTCACTAAAGCTTTCCTTACACATCTCCCTGAAAAGCTAATAGTAATGCAGGATACATGTACCGGTATGTTGTTTTGTGTCCAGCAGAGGGGCACACAATTTCGTGTCCAATATCTTAACTTTTATTTTTGATAGCTGAACAGATAATACCATTATCAGGTTTGATGACATCTAGATTGAAATGTCCAAGAATGATCACAGATTTGCCATGAGATGGACCTTGTCCTCCCAGACTTCCATTATAATAATATACAGTCGAACCTGCTTTAGAGACCACCTGTATAGAAAGACCACATTTTTTGTTTCCCTTGAAAATGGTTTCTCATTGAAACATGTACTAAAGACCACATGCCTTTAAAGACCACTTTTCTTTTCTCCCTTGGTTCCACTTGAAATCAAATGCTCAAGTAACACTTGTGAAACAAAAAATAAATCAAATAAAAGCATCATTACGATGACCTCTTTGCCCAGGACAATATTTTTCTCACAATAATGATACATGTACAATACAAAATTAAAATATGCATTTCCCTGAAATCATGTAAAGTTGGTTGTACGACACCGTGACAACTGCTCCTAGGGAATCTCCCAAACTGACTTAAATCTGAACTTCAATCCAATACTCATGAGTGTCCCTAACCCTCACCATGACAATAAACCCAAACCCTAACCCAGGGCAACCTTAACCCTAATGGGAGCAACTTTAGAATACCCCATCCCCCCCCCCCCCCCCAACAAAAAAAAAAAAAATAATAATAAATAAATAAATAAATAAATATATAAATAAATAAATAAATAAATAAATACAAAAAAATTTAAAAAAATCTTCAGGTTAACCAATGCTTTACCAATGTACCAGTGGCTAGATCTGAAGAGTAGACTGAAGTTTTGTAGGTGACACTTACCCTAATCCTAACCCTGGGTGTTGGATGTACATCAACCATATTGGGGGGGGGGGGGGTATTTTAAAGCTCCCCTAATGTTTGAAGAACAAATGCCTGGAGCAATTGTCAACGGAGGATTTGTTGGAGCACCATGGAAGCAAGAGCAAAATATAATTTACCTGGAAAAAAATGTGTGATAGCATCAGGATTGTCTGGGATGCCAGGGTTTGCTTGGAGGATCTTGTCCACATTCTGCAGCATGGCTCTCCTGTACCTTCTTCTACAGATGAAACTGCGAACAAGAGACTGGATCAGAAAAAGAGATGAAGAAGAGGAAGAAGGATGAAGAAGGAGGAGGACAGGGAAGAAAGAGGAGGAAGGAGAAGAGGAAGGAGAGAGGATTGTGAAGAAGAGGAAGAAGGATGAAGAAGAAGAAGGAGGACAGGGAAGAAAGAGGAGGATCGAGAAGAGGAAGGAGAGAGGACGGTGAAGAAGAGTAGAGGAATAAGAATTGTTATATATAAAGACCCATGCAATGAACTGTATAAGCTGAAATTTTCGCGAATGACAGGCTAAGAGACACGAGTCATTACTTTCACAAATAGCATACAGCAGAATTAACAAATGGGCATGAAGTATTCATGTAAACACACAAATTTGAACAGCCTATCGTACCACATACAGTATCGTATTGGCATAGAGCGAGAAGGCTGATGGATTTTAAGACAGGGGTGCAAGCATAATAATGCAGTGTGATTAAAATACCAAGTACGTACATGTACTAGTTTTCAAATTGTTGACAGGGATTACAAAAGAGTAGAGTAAAGGAGCCCGTAATCGGCCAGCTCCTGTTTTCGGCCGATTGGTTGGATGCAAGGTAAAATCACTCTAAAATACATCGCATAATAGCATAACACATATCCCACACATACCATACCATGCCAGTGTCACTGAAGAACCACATTTGCAATGGAAAATATATCCTAAAATATCACATTTTAGCGATGTAATCGCCGGTCCCGCTACCCAAATCTGAAAAATCAAGTATCTTACGCGTGTCTGTAAGAAATATGGGTACCATAAAATGAGCTTTATTTCGAGTATTTTTCAGATTTAGAGCCCGATTTTGTGCTAGTCGCAAGCTCAAAAGTATGTCATCGCATGTATTAAATCAATGCAGCCGCACACCGCGACGCACACACGATATCTCTGTCTAATTCAGATTCCAACTTCCGATCACCGCTGTGCCTGTCTTCGGCCAGGCAAGCATCAGGGAGCTCCGGCATGGGATACCTGCTCCGCCCGCTTGTGCTGTACATCAGCGCGGAAACGCACGGCGCGCGCGAGCGCTTCCTATTGACTTTGTACATGCGGCCGTAAACTGAAACGCTCGGCCGATAACGGGCTCCAAAACAGTGAAAATTGAAATGAATATTGTCATGGCAATTCGTGATTTTTTTCTGGGATTCTTTTTTTGTTTAAATAATAATAATATTTGCTTCATGATTTGAACAAGAAATGATAATAAATAGGAAGTAAAGAGTCCTAAAAATAGGATTTTGTCTTAAGTGGCCGAAAACGGGCTCCTTTACTCTAAGAGACTTTTGAAAAATGAGAACTTCACTTCTCGCTGTCGCGGAAAGTGGAATCACCAAGGTCAAAGGTCAAAGTATGGATATGATTCTAAAATTAGCGCCGAAGACGTAGATGGCGTTTACCAGTATTTACCAAGCTACACCCCCTTTATTAAAATTCTATGTGCGGCGGAGCTGAGCTTTCAGCTACAGCCGTAGTCTACACTAACACAGAAAGTAATACACGGGACTGCCCTTTAAAAAAAGCCTTGCCCAAAAAGAAAAATATCTCGATCTAATTACCTGTATCCTGACCACAGATTGTTCTTTCTTCCGAAGGAGAGCACGCTCAGTACGAGAAGATTTTGCCTTGTCCAGAAGTTCGGACTTCTTGGAAGTATCTTTCTGGCTGAACATTGTAACAAAATTAAATTTTTAGTTTTGTTTACAAATTACAATTCAGAAAATTTCCGGAAGAAAATGTTGTGTGAGCTGTCCAACGCGCCATCTACCGTACCGGTGTGTATATCGAGCCATATCATCGAAACTGATTGATAGATTGATTGATTTTTATTCGCTAAGCCTCCAAGTTCAACCAGGCGCTGTTCCAGGGGGGCCGAGGGGGCCTTGACCAAAAAAAAAAAGAGAGAGAGAGAGAGAGAGAAAAGGAAAAGAAGGTATAGGGAAAGAGGAGAGAAAAGGAAAGAAAGAAGAGGAAGAAGAAAAGAAAAGGGGGAAAGAAGGAGCTGGGGGTACGTGGGCGAAAAGGCCTTGCCTCCGCATGCTGTTGCCTCCCCGCCCCCACACCCCCCCCCCCCGAGCCCCCCCCCCCCCCCCCCCAAAAAAAAAGAGAGAAGGAAGGAAAGGGAGGAAAAAAAGTAAAAGAGGAGATGAAGGGAAGGAAAAAGAAAAGAAAGAAAAGAAGGGGAATATCAATCGATTTTCCCGCCAACACCAACAAGTGTAGATCGGGGGGGGGGGGGGAGGCCCTTGCCTCCGGCTTACCCCCCCCCCCCGCCAAAAAAAAAAGGAAGAGAAAAGAAAAGGGTGAAAAGAAGGGAAGATCAGTTGCGATTAATCCCGCCAACAGCGTGTGGATCGGCGGGGGGGGCGGCGAAAGACTCCTGCCCCCTCCCCCCCCCCCCCCTCCAAGCAAAGAGAGAAGAAAGGGAAGGAAAAGGGAAAAAGGAGAGAAAGGGAAAGAAAATAGAAAGAAGAAATGTAGGGGAGATCAGTTGCGATTTTTCCCGCCAACGTTGTGTACCGGGGGGCCCAAAAGGCTCTTGCCTCTCCCACCCCCCCCCCCCCCCGCAAGAAAAGAGAGAGCCAGAGAAGAAAGGAAAGGGAAAGGGAGAGAGGAGAGAAAGGGAAAGAAAATAAAGAGGAAGAAGACAGGAGGGGGGAAAGAAGGGAAAAGCAGTTGCGATTTTTATCGCTTTTTCTATCATCAATGTGCAAATATCATTGTACAAATGTATTAATTTATTCCTGTTTGATAACAATAATATTTAAATATAAACTCATAACAGCAACAAAACAGAATGCAGAAGAGAACCATTTTGGAGGCAGAAAGAAACGCAAAATGATCATGCGTTTGCAGTGGCGTACGCAGGATTTTTTCAAGGGGGGGGGGGGGGGTTTAACATTTTGAAATCGGGCCAAAAATTTCGCAACTACTCGGCCAGCCGCTAAATAAGCGGGGTGGGGGGGGGGGGGAGGGGGTAAGAGGACATATGTATTTTGTTTTTGGTCCCGAAATTTGAAGAGTTATTTCAACTTTCAAGACATTTTAACTGGCTCACAATGTTTAGCTATCGGCTGAAGTATGTTGGGTTTCATTTTCCTGAGTAGCGGTAGCGGTACGCACAGTCTCTCAATATGGCGCATTGTCATCCCAGCCATTGAAAGGGCCAGGCGCGGATCCAGGATTTCTTAGGGGGGGGGGGGGGGGGGGCCCAAATGTGAAATTATGCGAGCCAAATATTGGTACGTAATGGTGACCAGCAGTGACGTAATGCGGGGAGGGGGGGGTGGGTGCAGGGAGGGGCGAGTTCCCCCTCCCTCTTGACGTTTCATTGAATTATTAGAGAAAGAAGACGTTTCGTTATACCGTTTTCGAAAATAATCCTCGTCTAAATTCAGTTTTTCCCCGCCCGCGCTAAGCGCGGGAGCTTTTACGATTCATTAAACCATTAGAGAAAAAAGACGATTCGTCGTACAGTTCTCGACTCCAAATCCTCGTCTGAATTCAGGTCCCCCCCCCCACCACTCCCGCGCAAAGCGCGGAAGCTTTTGCGATTCATTAAACCATTAGAGAAAAAAAAACGATTCGTCGTACAGTTCTCGACTCTAAATCCTCGTCTGAATTCAGGCCCCCCCCCCTCCCGCGCGAAGCTTTTAAGTTTCATTAAAAGCATTAGAGAAAGAAGACGATTCGTTGTACCGTTCTCGAAAATAATCCTCGTCTGAATTTAGTTCCCCCCCCCCCCCAGCTCCAGCGCGAAGCGCGGAAACTTTTACATTTCATTAAATCATTAGAGAAACAAGACGATTCGTATTACCTTTCTCGACTCTGAATCCTAGTCTGAATTCAGTTTTTCCCCTACCGCGCGAAGCGCTGAATTTTTGACGTTTCATAAGATTATGAGAGAAAGAAGATGATTCGCTGTACCGTTCTCGACTCTTAATCCTTGTCTGAATTTAGTTCCCCCCTCCCCTCGTGCGCGAAGCGCGGAAGCTTTAACGTTTCATTAAATCATTAGAGAAACAAGACGATTCGCTGTAGAGTTCTCGACTCTTAATCCTCGTCTGAATTCAGGCTCCCTCCTCCCGCGCGAAGCGCGGATGCTTTAAGTTTCATTTAAATCATTAGAGAAAGAAGACGATTCGTTGTACCGTTCTCGAAAAATATTTCTCGTCTGAATTTAGTTTCCCCCCCCCTCCCGCGCGAAGCGCGGAAGCTTTTAGGTTTTATTAAAATCATTAGAGAAAGAAGATGATCCGTTATACTGTTCTCGATAATAATCCTCGTCTGAATTCAGTTTTTCCCCTACCGCGCAAAGCGCGGAATTTTGGACGTTTCATAAGATTGTGAGAGAAAGAAGACGATTCGCTGTACCGTTCTCGACTCTTAATCCTTGTCTGAATTCAGTCCCCCCCCCCCCCCCCCCCTCCTGCGCGAAGCGCGGAAGCTTTGACGTTTTATTAAATCATTAGAGAAAGAAGACGATGCGTTGTACCGTTCTCTACTCTTAATCCTTGTCTGAATTTCAAAGATGTTCTTTGTCTGCTCCTTTTTATTCCTACGCCCTCTTTCTTTTCTCTCCTCTCTTTTTTATTTTGACGGCGATTTTCGGGGACCGCCCCCACAGCCCCCCCCCCCCCCCTGGCTACGCGCCTGCGGTCAGATAAACATATTTTGATAACTTGTCCGACCCCAGAAGCTCAGGGGCTATAAATTACGGTCAGGTAAGCATTCAGGGGCCCGCCTTAGGGCCCTAGTTGGAATCCAGGGGCCATCAGAGCCCCCGGAAGCTTGGGGGCTTTAGGCATTTAATCACGGTCAGATGAGCATATTTTGATGCCTCATTATTTTTTGACACTGGCAGTTAACTCTTTTTTCTTTCTTGCTCTCTTTCTTTTTTCTTTTTCTTTAATATACCTTTTCAAAAAAAGTGGGGGGGGGGGGGGGGGGGGGCTCGAGGCTCTCGATCCCCGCCATTCCTCGGGCCCTGACATGTAGGAATCTCATGAGTCACATTTCTTGCCTGGCTGTAAATTTAGGAATTTGTCACATAAAAACGTATAATTTACTAAAAAGTGAGGAAAAATCTCTGAAAATTATGCCATTTCAGCATTATTTGTAATCTACCGTTATGGAATTAGAAATAAACCACGTTTAAATTTGATTTCCCACTAGCCCCCTACCCCTATCAGTTCGCCAGTATCTCCCCTTTTTCTTTTTTCTTTCCCTTTCCTTCCTTCTCTCTTATTTTTGTGATGGGGGAGGGGGGCAACAGCCTGGGAGGCAAGGCCCTTTCGGCCCCCCGATCTTTTTCTTATCCCTTTACTTTTCTTCTTCCTCTTCTCTCTTTCCCTTTCTCTCCTCTTTCCTTTCCCTTCTTTTCCTTTCTTCTCTCTCTCTCTTTTTTTTTTTTTTTTTTTTTGCGGGGGGGGGGGGGGCAAGGCACGCTCGGTCCCCCCCCCCCCCCTGGATCCGCGCCTGGAAAGGGCAATGCCATCTTGGGGAAACAATCGCTGCGAGAGAGTAAAGTCCCGTCATCATAGAGAGGGCCGGGGCACTGGTTCTAGTTACTTTGTGAAATAATAATTAATAATGCAAATGAATAGGAGAAAGGTGCGGGAAAGGGATCGTTCTTCTTTTGAGGTTCATGCAGTTTCTCAGATCAATTCTTTCTCAAGTTGTTTCTTTTCTGTTCCTCTTTCTAGCCTTCTTCGACGTAGGGAGATAAAAGTAAAGAAGAGGAAAAGAAGTAGAAGAAAGAGAATACGAAAAGAAAAAAGACAGTGAATATGAATAAGGAGAGGAAGGAGAAGACGAAGGAGAGGAAGGAGAAGAAGGTGAAGAAGGAGAGTAAGGAGAATAAGAAGGAGGAGAAGAAGGAGAGTAAGGGGAATAAGAAGGAGAAAAAGGGACTGCAGCCCCCCTCCGATGTCCCATATGATGATGCGTGTATAAAATGTTTGTGAAAAAAAGTAATGTGTGTTTTGTTCACGAATTGTTTTGAAACAGAACTGTTAACTATACTTTTTACACTTTTATATAACATTTATTTTTTTTTAATTATATAACTGATATCACCATTTTTCTGGTTCAATGTCAGCTGTCACAATTTATCCTCTCGATGCCTTAAAATGACTATATTTAGCCCCTTCTCTCTCCCATCTCACAGACTCATTTGCTCTGTTGTATTCTTCTATTTCCCATTGATTCATTTTCCTTGACCTATACAGATTTCATTTCCTCCTGGCATTTCCGAAATCACCCACTCAAATAATTTCAACACAAATCCATCTCTCTCTCTCTCTCTCTCAGGTGTTTTGCCAAGGGCAGGTCTGCACACCAGAGCCTTCCGATTAGTGCTAAACATCTTGAGCCAGTGTCACGTTTTTTGTGTTTCACACCCAGGCGCGGATCCAGGATTTCTTAGGGGGGGGGGGGGCCCAAATTTGAAATCAATTTGAAATTTAGTGTGCTGAAATTTGGGTAGTGAGCACTAATTATTTTTTTTGGCCCTTGAAAATTTGAAAAATCGCACCCCCCTCTCGGGTAAGATGTGTACTATCCAGTTTATCTTTCATCTTCAGATTTTCTTCTCCAAGTTCATTTGTTCATTCACTCTATATCTTCATAGGTGACCATGTCCCTCTCCAACTAATTCTTCTCCATGACCAAAGTGTCAATCAACCTTTCATCAGATATCTTGATTGGCGGATTTCAGAGCCATACAATGATGAACTTCCACAAAGCAGACATTTGACAAATCCCACAAATGTAAATTATAAAAGTTTTTTATTGATGTTACCACATAATACATATGAACATGATAACAAAGAATAAAATGAAACTTTCCATTGTGACATTAGCAAAACTACCGAATGGCAGGGTTTTTGTGCCTTAATTAATGTATTTCTTTGGAATCTAAACATACACACACATGTAAATAGATCTGGTATGGCAAACAGCAGGGTTGACACAAAAAGCCCCAAAATGTCAGAGGGGAAGTTCACCCTGCATATGAAGTTTGTTTTAATAGTATAAGAAAGATGAGAGAAACCCGTCAGTGAAAGTTTGAGAAAATTACGATAGTTGCGATCATTCAAACGCAAATAGTGGTCAGTACGCACGATAACATACATGTAATAAAAAATGTGTAGTGTCTTTTTCATACTGCACAAAAAAACATATGACTAATTATGACCTCTTGAAGGCTCATCATATTGGTAACTTATCAATCGGAAATGGTGCATTTCATCTTAGAAAGTGTGACACCAATTACCTCTTTGCAATGCATATAGACGAGACTCACAATGTGCACAATTTAAAGCCCAATTCGTTCCTACTTTCACTAAGTGACGGTAGTGAGGAAAACCGCACGCAAATTGTATGCGATTTTTCATTCACTACCGTCACTTCGTGAAAATAGGGACGAATTGTGTAAGCTTTTATATATGTGGCATTGTGATGACCTAGCTAACATCCTAATGAAATCATTAGTCAATATAGTTTAAAATGTTTTCATTTGTTGACCTTGGGAGGACTTCCATAAAGCAAGGACAATGACAAGAAAGATCTTTAAGCAATGTGATGTGTTTTACAAAAAAGTTCCTAATATTGCTTGAAGACTGGGAAAACATGTATATTACAGACGGGACAAAACTAAAAAGAAATAAGGCACGGACAAAGACTAATCCTGAAAAGCTCAACAAGACTGGTATAAACTTGTAAGTCAGTAATATAACTACTATAATCTGATCAAAATATAACCTTTTACTGACTTTAAATAGCGTGTCCCACTGCTCTTGCTATTAGCATTGTCCCAAATTATTTTTAAATTGTTATATCTGAAAAGCTACTAAAATCTAAACTAAGAGTGATTCCATATATATTTTCTACATTGTTCTACGATGGACCCGGCTGAACTACGGAATGATGACGTCAGAGAAGATGACTACCCTTGGAGATAACCCCTGAAACAAGAATAGAGACGAGCAAAGAACAATGATATTTAACTACTTAGGTTTAAAAAAATCATCCTTCCTTAAGTTTGTGTAAAACAATATTTTTGAGTTCAAAATGACATAACTTGAATGGCAAAAACATAGTCATCATATCTACATGGCCAAGTCCAAGCTAGACCACATCTTTAATGGATCTTCAGTGTTTTGTAATCATTTTGTGACATTTAACTACTTAGGTTTTAAAAAATCATCCTGCTTAAGTTTGGGTAAAACAATTTTTTGGAGTTCAAAATGACATAACTTGAATGGCAAAAACATAGTCATCATATCTACATGGCCAAGTCCAAGCTAGACCACATCTTTAATGGATTTTGAGTATTTTGTAATCGTAATTACTAGCTCGACTAGGGATTGGATGAGACCAGATACAGTTAACAACTAAATTATTCATAACCCTTGTAAATTTGATGATTTTTGTGTTTTGCATAACTCAAGAATGAAAGATGGACTGGTTGAATTAGAGCCTTTGTTAAATACTTTTAGATACAAGCTTTAATACGTCACATTCTCATGAAACATAAATCAAGACAAATCTATTTTTCACATTCATAAAACCTTATAAAGTTTGGTAAGGGTATGAATAATTTAGTTGTTAACTTTATGTTGTGAAAATTGTACCCTATGGTATATTTCTGCAAAGATTAACTTGGGTCTTATTAGAGCTTTAAAAAAAATCACTGTAAATATCATTCCAACTTGAGAATACTTACGGAAGCTTCATCCTCATGAACACTCTACACATGAAGAAAGAGGTGAGGATACAGAGGAAGCCTACTAGCAGGAGAAGGAAACGGTTGAGTTTGGGCATCACGTTGGAGTTGGATTTATCAAGCACAACAAAACCTAGCCCTCCAATAGTAAAGAGAAAGCTGGATGCTAAGCCCTCCATGATGTACTGCCCATTCACTCGGTATGGCATGAAAGCAACCTAGTTGGGAAATGGGATAATAAATAAAAATACCATTTATCAGTTTGTTTCAAGTTTTCAAAATGTCACACATTTTAAAACAGATTTGTAACGATTCAGCTTACATTAAAGGGATCGTTTAACAATGGTAAATCTGAGATACACGGCCCTACATGTTACCAATGTCTGTGATATGGTGTAATATTGAAGCCCTAAAAAAAAATCGTGCTTCAAAATGATCAAGAAATGCCTCAAAAAAGTAAAAATCTTTGAGTGACCGGTTTTACCATACTCGTTTTCCCCAATACAGTGTAGTGTTATGAAAAGCGTTCGGCGAATGGTTTTCAAAATTTGTAATTCCAATCATTGATATCTTGATAATAAGACAGGCGATCGGCTTGTAAAAGTTATGGAGTTCCTGACTGACCTAAGGGTTTATAATTATCATTGCAGCATGAGCTAAATCAAGGATTATTTCTAAAGGATCTAAGACATTTACCGGATCCCTTTAAGATGATCACATTTGCAAGCAAATTGTTATAATACCTATGAAAGCACTAGATGACAAATGGATATTGTTGGCCTTAAATGCATGTGCATGTATGAAAAACAAAAGTCTCTCATTTTTTATATTTATGTACATACTGTGTGTGAAAAAACAATTTTTGTTGAAGTTATAGACAAGCTCTTCAAATCATAATTAGAGAATGTATGACTTTTAAACAGACAAGTTTACTTACTGGTTTTTGATGTCCATTTTCATCTGTTGTAGATCCTACACTTGGAGGCTCAACAATAACATCATAGATAACACCTGGAAAAGGTTGATAAGAATGACAACATGGCTTGAATACTTCTTTACTCATTCCAAAGACCGCAACTTTTAATGAAATTTGTCAAAACGAATACTCACATGAAATGTGTTATAGTAAATGCTCTATCACTTCCAAACTTCATCTCTGTCACTCACACGTAACCCTAGCCTGTAACAAACGCTACATGGCATTCCATATTCATTGAACATTAATCAAATTTCAAATAACTTTGTACATAATAAATAAATGCATTGCTTCAAATTGATTTAAGAGTTCTGTTTTCGAACTCGAATGATGCAACAACTAAAACACCAGCCCATAAATAATGACATTGACACTGCTCATCTAATGCTGAACACCATATAGACAAAAATAATGCTGTATAAATGTAAATTATTATCATTATTATTAAAAGTAGTAAGTAGAAAAAATTTCATTCTGATATTTGTGAATGGCGTGAAACAGAACTTGAACACCAAGTTTTTTGTTGATGATTTTTTGTTGTTGATTATCAGTAGGGGCGCTGGTCCGAGAATAAGGATCGTCTTCATAAACAAGGATCGTCTTCGTAAACATGGTCCGATGCGTCCTCAAAAGTAAGGACCGTCTCCATTTTTGCAGACGTTTGATATTTTTGATCGGCGCATTGGCGATGCAAAAAACAGATTCTGCAATGATTTTCTTGATGCATTTTACATTGACTTCGTACAGAGACCTTCACATTATGAGCAATAAATCTTTGGGAAGACGGACAACCCATAAAAGTAGACAGTGAACAAGAGTTATTTTCTCCCGGGGAATCCATTTTTGGTATCGCTCGCGGGTGGTTCTGTAACATGAAAACCCCAGAGCGGCGATGAAAAAAACGTCCTCGAAAATGCAGACAACTCTGATTTTTGAGGATGCATTTGGTCTGAGTTTATGAGGACGATCCTCATTCTCTGATCAGCGTCCCTACTGATTATTAGCTGAAAACTAGACAAATCGCAGACGGTAGCAAAACGGGACACGAAGGAGGCAAACATGGCGAAGAGAAAGTGCGCAGCACATTCCGTGCATGCATACTTTCTCTTCGCCATGTTGAATCAATGATATACAACATATTGGGATTAATTGGGTTAACCGTTAGTTACTCGTTAGGATGAGGAGTCACCCTTTTTTCCATCAAAAACTTATTCAAATTATGATTTCAAGTAGTTGAACGGATGCCCAGAGGTATTCAAAAAACAGGTCAGGTATGTCAAAATTGTAATCACTACTTCTTTACATTTCGTAAAAATGTGACCCGACCTACTGTTTGAATTGTTTTCCTATGCAGGCTTAGCTTTGGAGCTCCGTCGCCGGAGCGGAGAAAGGTATACTATTGGATGCATTTAAGCATCATCCATGAAGGTAACACGTTTTTAAGTATATGGGACAACGTAAAACTACATTAAAATTAAAAATAAATGCTGCATTCATTTACCTCCCGTCACTAAGAAGTATGAAGCTAAAACGAAGAAGTAAACTGTCATTGCAGATGGCGCATGGAACCATGATGGTTTTTTGAGCTTCAAATGTGGACATTCCAAAACAGTAAAAGGCATTGCATAAACTCGTTCCATTTTTATAGAATTTGTGTCTTTAGTCGCACGGAAACCCAAAGCTGCAAAAGAAAATTGTAGCCACGTCCACTAGTTTAGTCGCATGTTCAGACGTTAAGTATTATATTATAATTTTTTTTTTTGGTGGGAAGGAGATCAAGTACATTTAGTATGAAAAATGGAGAGGGTGTTTTCCCGGTGTTTGAGGCGGATTGTAAAAATTAAAAAATCAGGATGGGAAGGATGGGGGAAAGGAGTGACCCTCTCCCGTTATCGGGGTGGGAAATAGGCTATACCAGGGGCGGCGATCCCGGGGGGGGGGGGGCGGGGGGACACGTCCCACTCATTTTTTTTTTTTTAGGGCGGATCATCCCCCCCCCCCTCAAAATTTGGAAAAGTGCAAAAAAAAAAGTGTATAGCAAATACTGACTAAAGACTGCAAAAATCTTTAAGGTTCTGTACGGCCCAAGAGTGAAGCGTTTAGACGAATGAAAGTTGAAAATCTTCTCGCTCGGGAGCTACGCTCCCTCGCATAATATTCTTCAAACTGTACAAGTGTATATTGTAGAAAAGTGAAGTGTGTAAAAGGTACATTACTTGTTTTTATATTATTGTTTTGCTAAGGAATGTAAATTTTTAATACAACAAAACTTCAAAAACCTGTGAGGGTAGTCACTTTCGTCATCTTCACCCCTCGCGATCACTATGCTCCCTCGCGCTGGCGTAATAACGGGGGGGGGGGGAGGGGTGGACTTGGTGGCAGTTTCACCCTGGTTTATTTCTAATTCGATACCAGTGATTTACAAATGTTGCTGAAAATGGCATGTTTTTTCCCTGAGCTTCCGGGGTTCTGCCCCCTGTACCCCACTAAGGGCCCTAAGGCGGCCCTGGTTGCTCATCTGACCGTAATTAAATGCCTAAAAACCTAGAGCTTCCGGGGCTCCGCCCTAAGTCGGGCCCCTGGATACTCATCTGACTGTTATTAAATGCCTAAAATCACTGAGCTTCCGGGGGTTCCGCCCCTAAAAGGTAACCTGGGATCCTAAAGCGGGCCCCTAGATGCTCATCTGACCGATATTTAATGCCTAAAACCCATGTGCTTCATGGTGCTACGCCCCTGGACCCCTCGCCAATATACACTCCACGTGCTTCACTCGCTTTGCTCTACTTGATTATGGAAAACGTTCCACGGGGCCTGCATGTACCATGTAAGAGTGGGGGTGCGGATTCCCCCCCCCCCCCCTAAAAAAAAAAAGGTTTTTGCTCATTACGCCACTGCTCCCTCGTCCCTCGGATTTCGACCCCCCCCCCCCCCGGTCATGAAGAGAAATCGCCGCCCCTGGGCTATACATTAATAAAGCAGTCAAAGATTGTGCCACTGCTGGAATTCCAGTTCAGTGGGGTATGCGGCTGAACACGGCAGGGGCGGTGATCCCGGGGGACGGGGGGGTACAAGTGCCCCCAGAAAATTGAAAAAGTGCCCCCCCCCCCAAAAAAAAAAAAAAAAAAAAAAATGTATGGCAAATACTGACCAAAGACTGCATTACACGTTTAGGCTCTGGAAGGCCGAAGAGTGCGGCGTTTAGACTAATAAAAATGCAAAAATCCTCTCGCTCGGTCGCTAATTACCTCCCTCGCATAATATCCTTCAAAATATGAAAGAGGCCTAGAGTGGGAAATAGAAATCCCATCCATGCCCAAGCAGATACTAACTAAAATTGATTTACTCAAGTGATATTTACAACCCTTCGGTCTGCACACTAATTACCAGCAAAATAACAGTGAAGTGTGAAAAAGGGGTATATTGCTAAGTAATTTCAAAAAAACCTATGAGGGGGTAGTCACTGCCGTCACCTTTGCCCTTCTCGTTTGCTGTGCTCCTGCGCCCCTCGCACTGGCGTACTGATGGGGGGTGGGGGGGGGGGGGCTTGGTTAATTTTTCTCCTTTGAAAGAGTAGGGGCCTGTACACCTTGATGCTATGGTCAATATTGCCCAGTTATTTAAGGGCGCCAGCAGGGCGAAGCTGGCGGAGGGGGGGGGGGAGGGGATGTCCCCCTTTACTCGTAAGGGTGAGGGTTATGACTTTTGTCCCAATTTTTTTAAGACAAAAAAAAAAAATCGATGCACGACGATCAAAATGTTAAAGTCCTTTCTCTGCTGGGTTGGAGGGGGGGGGGGGTATGGACAATTTTAAGAACATTGGCACAATATCTTTTTATTTATTTTCATTCTTATTCATTTCCAGAAACACAAAGGTGACAAGGATTATAACAATAACAAAGAATACATCAATACAAGAAAACTAAGTACATTATTAATTAATAACAGACTGAAGAAAAAAAAAGTCTACTAATGGCTGGGGATTTATATAGTGATTCAAAATAGGCCATGCCTGCGACATATCTCATCGCGGTAACAATGGTAACGTCGACATGCATGACATACATGAATCACCATGGGTGTCGATCCCGGGGGGATGGGGGGGGGGATATATCCCCCCTAATATTTCAGGTGGGGTGGCCTGTACAATCATCCCCCCCCCCAATAATTCACCATAAAATTTTAAAAAAATGAAGAGAAAAATTAAGGATGAGAGCCCGATGAGAGTAGTTAATGGTTATTACTCGCAAGATGACCATCAATATACACATTTTGCTATCTCATTTTCATAATACATACATATATACGAAGTAAATAAGACATCCGTATATGAGACAAGAATAAATTGAATTCTCGCTCATACGGCTTCTTCAGGAATTGATGAATTTATTCAATTTGTTCAATCAACAGCATCATAGAAATGCAGTGCGCCAAATGCAAAGACGCAGCGTCAAAAAGCAACGAGCTAAATGTTAAGCGCGAAGCGCAAAAGTAGCAATCTGCAATGCACATCAGACAATCCTGGACAGTGTAAACATATGAACTCTGTGACGATTTCGTGATGAGATCGGAGACAAGGAGAAAGATTTTCGGACATTAGTATGCCTTATAAAATAGTTCACCCTGTTTAAAATTCACGTCATTGTATCTTTATTTTTGTTTTTTTCACTCATTTTATTTCCTGATATTTCCTATGAGATTTTTCATTTTTGGAGAAAGATTATTATGTCACAACTTATTTGTAACACGAATTATTTTCAGTGGGGAAACTGAATTCAGACAAGGATTAATATAGAGAACAGTACAACGAATCGTCTTCTTTCTCTAATAATTCAGTGAAAAGGGCAAAGCTGTTGAGGGCAACTGAATTCAGACGTGGATTAAGCGTAATAATCAAATGAAACGTCAAAGTACACGATACAACGAAGCGTCTTCTTTTACGAATAATTTAATGAAACGTGAAAGCTTCCGCGCTAAGCGCGGAATGGGCGAAAATGAATACAGACAAGGATTAAGAGTAATAATTTATTGAAACGTTAAAGCTTCCGCGCTTCGCGCGGTAGGGGTGAAACTGAGTTCATGAAGGACACGATACAACAAATCGTCTTCTTTCACTAATGTGAAAGCTTCCGCGCTTCGCGCAGGAATGGGCGAAAATGAATTCAGACAAGGATTAAGAGTCGAGAATGGTTCATAGGATCGTCTTCTTTCTTTAATAATCTAATGAAACGTCAGAAGGGGAAGGGGAACTTGATTCAAAGTTTCAAACATTAAGGATTAAGAGTCGAGAATGGTACATCGACTCGTCTTCTTTCTTTAATAATCTGATGTAACGTCAGAGCTTCCGCGCTATGCGCGGAGGAAGTGGAACTTGATTCAAGCAAGGATTAAGAGTTGAGAATGGTACATCGAATCGTCTTCTGTCTTTAATAATCTAATGAAACGTCAGAGCTTCCGCGCTACGCGTGTAGGAAGGGGAACTTGATTCCAACAAGGATTAAGAGTCGAGAACGGTCCAACGAATCGTCTTCTTTCTCTAATAATTTAGTGAAACGTCAAAGCTTCCGCACTTCGCGGGGGGGGGGGGGGAACTCCCCCTCCCTACACGCAACCCCCTAGGGACCGCGCTTCGCGTGTTCACTACCGCCCCCTAAAATGAAATCATGGCTACGCGCTTGGGAGGGGTGCAACTTGCCACACGCTTCTACCTCTTGATTGCTTTGATCCATTGCCGAAAATATTTTGGCACCTATCATCCCCCCCAACCACGGATACAAATCGACACCCTTGTGAATCACCAACAGTGCATGCCTTTGTGGTGTAGAACCTGTGGCATCATTTTTCTGTTTATTTCTAATTATTGAGTAACCTTAAAGGTATTACAAAGTTTTGGGAAATTTTGAAAAATGGGTGGATAGTGATTCTTTACAATTTTGATATATTTGGATGCCCATGTGGATGAATTAAAAACACCTGAAATTTTAGCCCCTAAAACGTTTCTGCTTTCGAGAAAAATCGAATATAAAGATTTACCGGTGCTCCCGGTAAATTTTGATAAATTTCAAATAGCTCCTACGGCCGTACAATGGTAGCTACGACCATGAAAATCTCAGAGTGTGTAGTTGTGATATATAATTTCCGAACGAGAATAGCTTATCGGTCGATTTTAGTCAATAAACATTGTTTTATAACTTAATTTATATCTTGACCTTGAGAGGGAGCTATTCAACATAAAGTGTTTATTATTTAAAATTTTATAACTTTAGAGTCGATTTCGACCGCGACAACGATCACTGAATATTGTAGGATCGTATATGCTTCCAATATGTTCATTTGAACCAAATTCATGACCCAATACCAAAACTTTGTATTACCTTTAATAAACAGCCTCTGTAGTCTTAAGTTTTCTATTATGGCAACTGAGAAAACTAATGAGATAATCTACATAGATCTGTTCTTAGATATGCCTAGTATAATTATAATAGGTCCTATATCCTATAGCTCACAGTTAGTGACAAAGTCAGGTTTCTTGCAGGGGGTTATTACCGGTCCTCTTCATGGGGTGGGCACAGAATGATTTATTTTCTAATGAAATGACATGCTAAATGATGATTATATTTGGATAGGCAAGAGACCATTAAGGACTGAGCAAATCCACACTTTTGAAAGTAGGATTGGAACTGGACGATTCCTCAGGGCATTGATCACATTGATGTATATTTCATATGTATTGTAATTCGTAGGTTTATTTGCATTTTCTTTTTGTTTCGTTTAATATGTAGTTGTTTATCATTGTATTTTGTTTGTTATAGCGCTTAGAGACTTCGATGCCTAAGCGCTTTATAAGCACCGTGAGCACTATTTTTGTTTGGCCCTCGCAAATTTAAAAAATCACACCCCCACCCCTTGAGCGCCAGGGGGGGGGGACATCTCAAAAAAAAGGTAAAATTAACGTGTTTTACACGTTTTTTCCCAGGGGGGGGGGGCGGCCCCGGCAGCCCCTGGATCCGCCAATGACCTGGTGGTGATGCTGATTTTGTTCTGACCCCAAAAAAGGTTTTTGCTCATTACAGTGGGAAGACCTTTGGAATGATTTAGGTTTTGTTGACAGCCTAAAAGGTCTACAAAGAAATCGTGTTACACATGTATTAATACTATCTCGTAAAACGGTTACAGCTGAAATAGAGACTAAATGAGACGCTAGGCGCGCGTGCGTGAAATTATTAGATTTTTAGCCAGAGTGCCAGCTGACTGTTTTTTTCTTACTCGGGTACGTACTGAGCCTACGCCAGCGAGGCAGGCAGGGCGCTTCTCGAATCGTACGACAATATTCGAACCTAGTATACGTAATAACAACACAGTGAATCGAATGCATGCTGTCATACATTGCGCGCGTGTTATATCGTGTAAATGGCGGTGCTGTCGGCAACAAAAACATCACGGCGGTGAAACACAAAATTGCTCGGACTCTGCAAAAATTTGTATTTTACATGGCAGGCGACGGTGGAATCACCATGAGGTCTTTTAAGATCATTTGACAGAACTGAAAATGGGTGAAAAATGGCCCTTATCACCAATAAATCACGGTTAAAACCGAAATTCTCGGTGGGAAAGAGACAGGAGGAGGAGAAGAAATCGCGCCAGGATGAACTGGACGACCTGTGTGTCAGAGGCTATGCATGCAAGTTGTTTCGCGACGATACTCGGGCAAGGGAGGTACACAAAGGCAGTCATCTCATTCCATGGATGGGAGATAACACACTCATGATTGACAGGTCAGTGCAAAGTTATAAAATATCTGGTCAGGAAAAAAAATCGGTAAGATAAACTGCAATCTAATGTTATCTTGATAAAATTGATTTGATTACTGCGTCAGTGCCGTGTAACGTGTGTGTGCAGCATGCAGCATGCAAAGGGAGTCGGGCCTGGCTAACTCTAGACCGAATTTTCCGTCTCTTTCGTTCGTTAGCCTCTTATTGGGGTAGGGTCGGCTCTCTCTTTAGAGACGGAAGCCGTTTATACACATGTCCTTGCTAACGCCACGGCCAGTTCTGGTCGTAGCGTTTTGCCCCCAAAATCCCCCAAAATGTCATTTTACCTCGAGCATGTTATATTGTAAATTAGGCCTAGGCTATAATAAATCAGTTCCACTTACCAACTTGACTGAAATAATCAGTTTAATAGTCCCTTTTTAGGAAATTATGGGTCAAAATCGGAATCCATGTTGAAAAAGATTTTCAACATGGATTCCGATTTTGACCCATAATTTCCTAAAAAGGGACTATTAAACTGATTATTTCAGTCAAGTTGGTAAGTGGAACTGATTTATTATAGCCTAGGCCTAATTTACAATATAACATGCTCGAGGTAAAATGACATTTTGGGGGATTTTGGGGGCAAAACGCTACGACCAGAACTGGCCGTGGCGTTAGCAAGGACATGTGTATAAACGGCTTCCGTCTCTAAAGAGAGAGCCGACCCTACCCCAATAAGAGGCTAACGAACGAAAGAGACGGAAAATTCGGTCTAGGCTAACTCGAACCAAAGACAAGCTCGGCCCAGCTGCAAAAAAGGTCAGTTTTGCAGGTTTATGGTTAGGCTAAAGGGTTTAAGGTTTAGGGTTAGGGTAAAATGACAAAAACTGATCGTTCTTGCAGCTGGGCCGAGTTGTCTTTGGTCAGAGTAAGCCTGGATTTGTGCAGAGTCACTGAGGGTGCGTTGACCCTTTTTTGCTTAGAATCTGCGTTTTCAAACGTATTTCATGCAAATTTTCATCATGGTGATAAATGCAAGCCTGTTTTCAAACGTCTTTAGATATGGGTGATTCCATAAATTAGGGACCCACTTTGAGAATACACCCGACGGTGGCCTGTACTTATAGCGAAGAAGAAGAAGAAGAAGGAACCAAACCCACACGTATTTGTGGCACTGAGTAAATAAAGACTTAAACTTAAAGGCCAAGTCCACTCCAAAAAAAACTTACTTTCAATTGAACTTAGAAGCAGAAAAATCAGACAAACCAATCAAAAAAGTTTTGAGCAAAAATCTGATAACTAATAAGAAAGTTATGAATTTTTGATGACATGAATGATGAATCACAAGACAAATTAGACTAATCATGAGTCTGTGACGTCATTGCCTCACTATCCACTCATTGTTTTCTTTATCAATAGGCCTAACAATATCCTATTTTCCCCTTAAGAATCTTACCGGTATTTCTTCACACCAGCATCCGATTCCAAGTTAGATTGATAGTAATTTGTTTTTGTGTAACTTCGGCAGACTCACAGTGCCGACGATCTCCGACCTGAGCAGAGGAAGGATACAAGAGAGAGATGCACTAATATTAAAAGAGTAATTTTTTTTCCAATACTAGATTCTAAATCATGAAAAATGTGAATTTTGATTAACTAGACTATAAAAATCAATAATTATGAAAATACAATATTCACAGAAATAGTATCGATTCTTCAAAGTTCATAAAAGATTTTGTGAAATGTCATGCACGCAATATGATACAAATCATATAACTTGGGAAAGGCATGGGGAAATCAAGATTTTGGGGATAAAAATGGAAATTAATGGGATTAAAATATATAAAGCAATTGATAAATAGTGAGGACATGACGTCACAAACTGATAACCAAATTGGCAATTTGTGTGGTGATTTCTGTTGTTCCGTGATTTAACATACTTTTTCAAAAATTCATAACTTTCTTATTGGCCATCCGATTTTGCTCTAAACTTTTTGATTGGTTTGTCTGATTTTTCTGCTTCTGTAAGTACATGTATCGGTACAATAATTTTTTTTTGGAGTGAACTTGCCCTTTAAGATGTAAATAAGTCGCAAGATATTAACACTGGTTTCTTCTCCAGTGCTTTGTTCAATAGATTCAGATTATTTTAGATGATGCATCCCCAAAAGGCCAAAAGACATGTATTGGAAAGTAATTTTTCATGCAGTGTGTGTGTGTGTGTTTGAGTGTGATAATGTTTCAACCGTGAACTCTATGTGCCCTTTTCTCAAGGAGCAGAGGAAATCTTTGAGGTCAAATGACTTGACAAGAAAGTGAGCGGAGAGCGATGGCACTGCATGCACAGCTATACCAACTCCCTGGCTATACTAAGCTCTATAGCTTTTCTTGTGCTGTGCACGTGGTGTTTGCTTGTAGTTGCAAACACTGCCATGGAGTCTTTACCATTTTTAGACCTACATGTAGGTATTTCTTTTTACATTTCTCAGAAAATCAGTTCACTCTTCTTCAACTCCAGAATAATGTCTGATAAATGGGTTTCAAGTTTAACCGTTTCATACAGTATGTTCCTACACATGTATAAATAAAATGGTGGACCCATTTTTGAATGGGTTATTTTTATGCACTTCTTTTTCTACTTGCAACATTTCATATCAGAATATTTCAGTTTCTCAAAGGCAAAAAGAAGGGAAAGAAAGGTCACCTTGATATGATTTTCAAAGGAAAACCAGGAATTATGAGAAATATAAGACACTGAAATAAGTAAATAACAATGTTTGAGATTTTGACAAGTTGAATTGTATTGTTTCCCAATTAACACGTTTATGAATCATACTGTGCACTGGTGTCAGTTTTGCCACATTATAGCTTGTTTACATTTACATCCATATAGTTCTTTAGGTGCATGCAACCTTTTTTATAGTACAAATGTAGTTCTGACTCGTGAATGTATCTTGTATGATGTGGAAACTTTTTCTTCCTTCAACTTCAAGGAAAATTATTGTGGAAAAGAAAAGAGCAGCTTTGTAGATCAATGCTCCTGCCTAACAATGACAAAACAGCTGGGTGAATGCCTGAATGGTATTTTCCATCAGCTGATGACCTTCTCTTTGCCAGGTCGCTGCTCCGCTAGACTGGGCCCACTGTTTTGAGAGCTCAGCTGGTGATGTACGGTCGTGGGGTAGTTGACATACTGTATTGTATGATATGGAGCTATCAAGACTACAGGTAGCAAACTCTATTTATTTAGCCCCTTCCGTGAATGAGCGTGCTAGTCTGGGTACATGTAGCTTTACACTTCACAAAACACATTTTAATGTGGATGAAAAACTCATGTTAAAGTGACTACCTGTAGGTAACATTGCCTCAGATTCTGAAACAAAATCCTGGATTTAGCTCATGCTGCAATCATAGTTATAAAGCTGACTTTTACAAGCCTGTATCATACCTGCCAACCACCCCGATTTAGGCGGAGTTCCTCCGCATTTTTCATACCAACTCCGAATTCCGAGTGCATGCCTCAAAACTTCGATTTTTTTAAATTTTAAAATATTTTTAAAACAAACGACTGTTGCATAAGACTAAAGCATAACACAGCACTGATAACCAGATCACGCCGACATCCGCGCTCGCGCTCATAGAAGATATACACAGCGCAGCCCGAACATGATCGTTAGTTCCGCAGTCATTATCCATGTACTGCAGTCATTATCCATGTACTGCAGTCATTATCCATGTACTGCATGTACTAGTACATGGAAGCACGTGCGCAAGCTATATCGATAAAGTGTGTGCGGACGTTGTACTAATACATACACTACATGCAGCGTTGTTGCATAGTAACTGCATGCGTATAGCCCACGTGTATTTATATTACATGTGCAGTTGATACACCGTGCATAAACACTGTATACATTGGCGTGTTTTCTTCAATGCTTGTGCGATGACTGCGATCGTGGAAGCTTGTTATTTACCGGACTTCCTCGGATTTATTTTGGATTACTACTACTATATTCTTCTTCTTCGTTGATTTCTCCATTTTTGAAGGACACTTTGCAAAATAGGGCTCCTAACTGAGGTGGGTAGTGAAACATGTAGTTTTGTGAGTGTTCACATTTTGATATTTCAAAAATTGTTTATGTGTGGGGCGAAAAGGTTGAAGGAAAAGGCCCATTTGCACCATTAAAATGGAGAGAAAAAAAAATAGACCCTAAAGTCCTGTGTACCCCCCCCCCCCCTAATCTACGGGCTACTACCCCAATCCTTCGGTGGTTCGCGACCTCGTAGTCCATCCAGAAAAATTTACTCCTAATTTCTCTTGTCTCAGGTTGGCAGGTATGCTGTATGATTATCAAGATATTTATGATTGGTAATCAAATTTTCATTTTTTGTTTTCCTAGCGTTTTTTATAACACTACAGTCTACTGGGGGGAAATGAGTATGGTAAAACCGGTCACTCAAAGATTTATAATTTTATGAGGCACTGTGTAATGTACCAGTTTGGTGTACATTTACACACACGTACATGTGTATATTATTATTTGTAGCGTGTGCCTTTTTATGGGAAGTAATTTTCCACTTCCATTATTCATCATATCAAAGGCAGACTTTGGAATTTGGATCTTTGAAATTGCGTTTAAAAACATTTGAGAACATTTTGGGTAGATGCAAAGCCCAGAAGTTGTTTGGCTATTAAACCTGACCATGCTCACCAGTCGTGCAGGAGCTTCAACGTTGTTCATCATTTATAGTTACATGTATGGTAGCATAAACTTATGTACATTGATTTAAAGGTAATACAAAGTTTTGGGAAATTTTGAAAATTGGGTGGATAGTGAATCTTTACAATTTTGATATATTTAGATGCCCCTGTGGATGTATTATAAGCACTAAAAAATTTAGCCCTTAAAAGACTTCTGCTTTCGAGAAAAATTGAATATAAAAATTTACCGGTTTTCACTCAAATTTTCAGATTATCTCTAATTGTACATCTAGCATTGAAGTCACTACCTTAGCACCACTATCTCTCATCTGAACAATGTTACAAAGTCCCTTTAAAATCCCCTGTGAGATTTCGTGTACATGTAGTTAAGAACCTGTACACAACGACCACCTGCCTAACGCGACCTGTGGCCACTCATTTTGCTTCCGCTGGCCATCGAAAAAATGCCCACTCAACGACCGCCAGCGCCAGCCGTGTACCGACCAACAACGGTAGTGTAGCGACCAGCAACAGCAGCGCTTGAGCAATTTCGTACGAGAAATCGTACTCGAGTAGTTATCAACAGTGCGAGTACTCGAGTATTCGAGCACTCATCGCAGCCTTACAATGTATTGTATGTTTTGGTAAATTGTAAATGTCACATAGAACTTAACAGCCTTTTCACACACAGCTAAAATTCATTGTATCTTACAATGTATTGTATGTTTTGGTAAATTGTAAATGTCACATAGAACTTAACAGCCTTTTCACACACAGCTAAAATTCATTGTATCTAGAGCTTATTAGTTTAAAGCTGTTTAACTCAACAGTTTTAAACAGCTTTAAAGAAAATTTTCCCTGTGTGAACGTCGTTTATACGATGTTCGGATAGATATGAAGTCGCGATTCATCCGCCGTTCAAAGCAGGCTGCAGATACAAAGTCTGTATCTAGAGAGCTTGACATTTTGTGTGTGAACGGTTATACATGTTTAAACTGGATGTAGAGCGCGCTTTGTTTGATTTAACCTAACCTTCAATGCGCAATGGCACTACTGCGCATTTTAAGAGCAGTTAATCACGAACGATCGCACCGAAATTTGTGTGTGTGAAAGATGTCATATGTAAACCTGATTAGTTTAAAGCCCTTTAAACTAATCAGCTTTAAAGAATTTTACCCGTGTGTGAAAAGGCTGTATGTACATGTACATGTACATGTATAAAAATGATGATGCTACAATGTACATTACATGTCTTAAAAGTTCTTAAACTTTTGTAGGCCTGCATGTTACTACTGCATGTATTCTTTTATGTTCTTTGTTCAATTGCATTTTTCCGAAGGAAAGAATACCGGTAATCTCTTCACTATGGAATGAAAACCCCATAAAGGGCCATATTAAAGTATCCAGAACGTGGAATGAAATGTCCTACATGTAAACTGTACTTGCCCTTATCCACACCATTCACATACACAATACCATTCTACTTTTTTGTTCTGTTGAGTTTAGACTGCAAAGGTGGACTATCAACACAGCATGCACTTGTTGTGCAAAGCGGTATTTAACTGGGTCAAATGCAGGCAGGATGTTATTGTGATTTCTCAAAGATAACTTTCTTCAGAAATCATGAGCTGGGATTGTATGACCTGTGTTTCGGACGAACCTGGATTTGGCCTTGAAGCCGGTCTGTAAATTTCCATATTCCAAGGAAGAAGTCTGCCTTGTTATGCTGGAAATGCTTTATATTTTTGTTCACCACCCTTTCTTAGATTTAGTTTGGGGAAACTCAGGTGTCTGTCAGCAGTATTTGTACCTTGTGTAATGTGTATGCATTTATATCAAAACCAATATTGGCTATTATGTAGACCCAAGTTTGCTCAGAAATGTTCCAATGATGTTTTTTTTCTTCTTCATACAAATGATTGTGAGTAGAGTGACTCTGCAAATCGTCATCTAAGACACTATTCGTCCCTATTTTCACGAAGTGACGGTAGTGAGGAAAATCGTAATGCAAAGTGAATGCAATTTTGTTTCACTACCGTCACTTCGTGAAAACAGCGACGTATTTTTTTAAGCTTGTAGGACTGCCCTTGAGTTGAACAGGTTCCAAGATCCTATCCGATGAAAATGCACTTTTATATAAATTAGGGCTGCGACGAGTAGTCGAATGCTTGTGTACCCGCACTGTTGACAACTACTCGACTACGATTTCTCGTACTCGAATATTCGGCCACAAAAAAAAAAAAAAAAAAATCCCGGTCACCCGGCACTGTCCAGGCTCACGCTTACCCATACCAGGAGAGCGGCGGCCGCTGGCATGGTTCCGTCGGTAATTTTTTTTCCCAACTCAAGCTCTGTCAAACTCACCACTTAGAAAATGGGACCAAATGTCCGGATTTCTGTTTGGACTTGGAGGAAAATGGATTATTCTGCCATCTTTGTTTTTTAAAACAGCATTGTTTACTGTTATTATTATTATTAAATCGGCGCCTTCAACTGCAACTCAATTTAAAATTGCATGCGTTTTCGGCGACGGACCTGGGATACTGTTCCAGTGGTATGGTGGTGGCAAAAAAAAAAAAATCAAAAATTCAAAAAAATTATTATAAAACATGGCGTCCGAATATTCGAGTATTTGCTTGTAAGCCTGGGAGTGTACTCAGGTACCTCATTACACTGTTGTGCACAGCCTTAATATAAATGGAAAGCTGAATGAACATAGAATACAAATATAAAGGATACAAAATATTTTCTCTTTCCATTATTGTGCAAAAGCAAATTAAAACCTCATTTTCCGCACCCCTCCAAATTATGGGTCAACGGGGTCAAACTTACCCCAGTGACAGAGACGACATACATGTCACATGTGGACCCGATAGTTTCGCCTACCGGTATATACATTACCGTATTTGCCGGCGTAAAGGCCGCAGTATTTTTGGAAGAAAAAATATCAAAAAGTTGGGGTGCGACCTTTACGACGAAAGAGTAAAAAAAAAAAAAACGAAAGTCAAAACTAACACGAATTTGCACGTATGGGACTAGAAACGGTAAAATAACAATACCACTATGGTACAGGACATTTCCAAACATCTTACCGACAATGTTATCTTGCATTGTTGACATGAAGATGAAAATAACGTCCTAACACAACATTTGCCGATAGATCTTGATCTAAGTTCGTGCCAATGCATTGCAAAGGTAAAGGAAGGGACAGTCTAACGGAGCTGCCGCGAACATTCATCCAAAGTCGCCATTTTGTTTTTCCATTTCATGCACCGTACATTGTGGTAGGGATATATCGGACACCAAATCTGCCTGCGATCACTTTTTTTGCTAAACTTCCGGTAAATTATAAGAATATGGATGATTTTGGTATCAGTTTGTAAAAAAAAAAAAATAGTGTTTTCGAGACAATTATGATTATTTTGTTTTGTCCGTTTGTTTTTATTTTCCTTTTTTTATTTTTTTTCCCTCTTTGAAATGTCAAAGTTGGGGGTGTGGCCTATGCGGCGGTGCGGCCTTATCGCCGGCAAATACGGTAGATGAGGTGATGAGCTGTGCTTAATTAAATGTAAAGTCATTGTAAATACATGTATGCATACTTTGCATAAGATGAAGTCATCAAGTTGATAGCTGTCGTCAACTTCTGACTTTCAAAGCTTTATATTTTTAGTTTTCAGAGAGCTGTTACACTTCGTACAGGCACTAAAATAGCATGTAAGGGTACATGTAATTGATATTATTGTAATTTATGGCTTTTAAGCTTTCTGTTGATATATATATATATATATATATGATTCCATCTATTTTATTTTTCACTGCCTACAGGGTCTTCAAGGGTCATAGATTGAATATTGTCTGCTACTGGCAAGACACACACTCTTAAAAGAGTTAGAAGGCATCAATGCAACATTTATAAAAAAAAATTGCAATGAAAACAGTCATCCTTAAGAATTAATGCAGGTTTCATGCCACAAAAGTTTCTGGTTTAACAGTAAGTAATTACATTGTAGAAAGGTCCTTTATATCTAAATCTTAATTTCATTTGTAATTTTTTGTTTTTATGTGTGCTTAGGTACGATGGAAGAGGTCATCTGCATGATCTAAGAGACTTTGAACAGTCAGGATGGAACGAAGATAACCAACTCTCTAAAGAGGCAGCACGCATAGAGGCCATCTGTGATGAAGAGCGTTACATGGCATTGCATACAGATCTCTTAGAGGAACAGCATAGACATGGTATGGACTTCATTTTTAGTATGTTAACTGAAAGGGGTTTAAGGATTTTGTAAAAAAAAGAGGGGGCACAATATACCTACAAATTCTGACAAGCAAGAACAACAGGAAAAAAAAAGGGGGGGGGGGGTCATCAGATTTGTTCTGGTTTTGCTAAGAGTTCTCTGACAGGCCAGATAAAAGAGGGTGACTGCTATTAAAGAAAGCAAGTTTATGCTTGTACAGGTATTAGTAGGAAGTAGACCAATGGTTTAATCTGCTTTAAGGAACTTTGTTGAGGATTAGTTCCTTAGCAGAGGACTTTAGCTTCTCAATTTGGTTATGCATGAACCCTGGACCTCCTTACCAGATTACTGCTCTTTACTGATCCATCACTGATCCATCATGCATCCAATGCTGTATTGCACAAGTACATTGGTGGACTTTGTGAAAAGAGTACCCATAAATTGGAAAGCAATGTACTGGTAGAGCTAGACAGCACCGACAGAGCTTTAGCAAAGGAGCTCTGAGAAATTCATGTAAAAAACTGTATAACCTGTACTTCATGATATCTCAAAGTGTATGCAGACACTCACTCTATTTGAAAACAATAAAAAAAGGTACAGGAAAAATATAAGAATTATTATCCATGGCAACCAAAATGAAACCATCAGTTTAGGGATTGATTATGTGGCAGACATGGTCATTTTTAATCCACTTTGTAAATTTGTTGATGATAAAAATACTGACTACTGGTATATTTTTGGAACAAGCTTGATTTGCCGGTACATTTATAAATCATGCTCTTTTATTTTACTTTGTAAATTTGTTGATGATAAAAATACTGACTACTGGTATATTTTTGGAACAAGCTTGATTTGCCGGTACATTTTAATATAAATCATGCTCTTTTATTTTACAGCTGTTCATTAGGAAATGAATATGCATACTGTAAGATTAGAAGATTAAAAGAATGTTTTGGTTTGTTTTCCACACCCGTGAATTGAGGGGTGCAAAGTGCAAACAGGAGGCCATGCACATCTAAGATACTGTCGTAAGTGTAAAGTTGGCATCATGATACATAATGAGCATAATTATGTGTAGCGAGATGTCTTGCTTTGGGGCAGGGAGACATTTCTCCTGGCATTGGCTAGCTAGCTGTCTCCACCAACGAAAAAAATACACGGTGGCGACGGGCGATTCGCCCCCTAAACCTCTGAAATCGCCACGGTAAAAATCAAGACGAGGGCGAAAAAAAATCAATATATCTTGAAAAATCGCCCCCGCCATAAATTGATATTCCCTATGAATTAATAGACCCTAAACCAATTTATTGATGTGTCTGAGTGAAATCTCCGTTCCAACTACCAACTCCAAAACTAGAAACTTCCATCAACATTTTAAAAGTTTTGTGAGTTGCAGCGGATCGGCGGTCGTACCTACTGTAGCTAGATCTACAGCGGTATATCCGCCTGCCTGCGCCTAAGCTCCCGGCGGCCGGACAGGCCATCGGCCCCGATGTAGTTTCGTGCACAGCATGAATGCATACGCAGTTCGCACACGTTCACAATACACAGAAACGTACTAGCTCAGCTCCAGCGCGCGCCCGCACGCTCCTTGTATGAAGCAAATAAGTATTTGCGAGTGACGAGAGCTCATCTGCTAGCGACCAAATTGGTACGTAATATGTTTATTTAGTCTTTTTTCTGGCCCTAATTTTTATCATGGACAATGCAATCCCATTAAAAAAAATGTTATTCCGTCTAAAATTGTGTTATTTATAAGTTAAAACCATTAAATGCGAGTATATTTTTACTGTTGTCCCACATACTGATATATTTGTAATAACGAAACGTGCAAAATCAATGCCGGATTTTTTTCCTGTAAAATCGGTATAAAGCAAGTTTCGTACACAGAAATTGAATTTTGTTATAAAAAAACCGTAAATAAATATATAAAGGATGTTCCTACTCCTCAGAATCTTTCTTACAACTGTTAAATTAAATTAAATTATTTATATACGATCGATGCCAGGCCAATTGTCATGAGTGATGATGACATCAATTTATGTCTACGAAATGAAACTAGCTTTGGCTTGGCCTTTAGAATTAGAGTCTATAAAAAAAAATAAGGTCATGATTTTGCATGTTTCGGCATAACAAATAGACCCTACATCGGTATGTGGGACAACAGTAAACATATTTACTCACATTTAATGGTTATAAATGGTCTAAATAACACAATTTTAAAGGGAGTTGGTCTACATTTTTTTTTAATGGGATTGCATTGTCCATGATAACAATTAAATTTGGGACAGAAAAAAAGACTAAATAACATATTACCTACCAATTTGGTTGCTAGTAGTATGATGGCTAAGGAAAAACACAACTTATTGTTACAGCTTACAATATGGCTTTAAGGAAGTAGCCCCTTGGTTTTTTTTAGGCAATGGGGAAAAGTAGCCCCCATAAAAAATTAATTCCTAGCCCGCGTGTCAGTGATAATATTTTCTTAGGATATGAAAAACGAACAGTTAAACAAAACACTCCTTTTGACAAGTTTTAGTTACATGTATATGTAAATCATAAAGCCACACGTTTAACACAAAGTGAATAAATCATGGGTATCTGAATGTCTGCAATACTCTACGTGACATATGTACGCTACAATTATATCTATATTTGCCTTTGCTTGGAATTTAATTAGGTAAAACCGCGTTTGAAAAAAATACAACCTTTAAAAAAAAAAAGCCCCCCTGAGCTCCAAAATAGCCACCGCAAAATAATTAAGGGGGGCTATTTTTTTAAGGGAAAATCTGAAAAGAGCCCTCGTAAAAAAAAAAGTAATTTTTTGGTTGGTCTCCACACTTCTGGGTATCACACAGACTTTACTCTATTTATAATCACAATTATCTTTGCACTATACAGTAGATGTTTTAGCTCGACCCTCCTTCAGTAGGGAAGAGGAGCATATAATGGAAGTGAAACATGGTCTGGTATAATCAAGGTCTCTGCATTGAGGTTGCTTGATGAAATTAGGAGTGACATGTAAAAACCTCTTGCAAAGCAATGATGTATGTCTTCCTCATTATGCCATTCACCCAGCTTGACATTTCGGTAGCTTTAGCTTTGCCTCTCACTACCTCTATGTTGATCAGGCCCTCCCTGGCCAGACCGTGCTGTAAGGCGCCGGCCCAGTCATCCTTGACATCGATTTCGAGACGATGTGCTAGATTTTAATTAGTCTGTCATGTACAGACTTCATGTGCAAGCCAGTCTAACCATTACAAGATCAAACAGACACAATCATGTAAAGAAGGGGTATCATCTGGAATATTTTATTTATCTATGTCTAAATATTGAGGCAAACTATTCATGGATATAGGTATTCATCAGCTTCATGTGATCACTAGGTTAATAATAATTAATAATAAGAATATAGGCATTTTTATAGCAGCGTCTTATTTAGAAATTCTATTCCGAGGCGCATTAATTATTACCCCGGCTTTAGCCTAGCTGCCATTACAGCGCTCCAGCATTTCAAGGAATTAATTCCTGCCAGGTACCCATTTACCTCACCTGGGTCGAGTGTGGCAAACATAGATTAATGCCTTGCCAAAGGACATTAGTGCTGTATCGGGGATCGAACCACGACCTTTGAACTTCAAGTCAAGTGCTTAAACCACTCGACTATGACACTTCCATTAGGTATATCTTTGAATTGCAGTTAAATGATCAAAATATGTACATGTACATGTAGACCATATGACTTTGCACTAAATTGCGTCTGTGCCATGAGACCTCTTTTCTTCATTGTCACACCATTGTTGTGATGAACGTGCCCTCTTCAACCTGTGGGATGTTGACCCTGTCTGTATGTATGCAAGGTATGTATGTCCCTGAGGCGTGTACCAGTCAAATAATAACACAGAGGAGTGGCAAGCAATTTAGCTCTTTAAAGATAAAGACCAGTTCTGGTCATGCGATTGCATTGTGAAAGAAACGTTGTGGAATCGATCAGAAAAGGTTGATCATGTAGCATATAAGTATTGGTGTGTACTGCAAGGTTGTGGAATCATCAAAATAATATAAATTTGGCCCAGTCTTCGTAAAGTTACAGTACAAGCACTGTACACAGAAAGATGTATATGGGACTATGCACACGTGCGCGACACATGTGTTTATCTCTCACATACCTATAGATAAACTAATTTACCAAATATATCAATTAGTAGGCGGTTTCCGGCAAAAATGTTATCATCATGACAATTGTACTAGTCTAAACATATTCTTTCACATGATTAGTAATAAGAGCTTCCATTTAATTTTTTGAAATTGGGGCGTTTCCAATACTGGCCTTTGCCTTTAAAGCTCCAAAAGAGCTCTCGTAGTTAACTAAAGAGCTCTGGTAAAAAAAAAATCTTTTATCACTGTGAGAAAATAAATCACACTTATTCAACACCAAATCCTAAAGGAGCTCCAGTAAACAGAATTTTTTGAAATTACGATTGCGTGTACTGTGTTAGGGCAGATAAAAAAACAAACTAGCGTCCTGTTTTTTCAAAAGATAGGAAGGAGGCCCCTTTTTCTTTTCTTTTTTTCCTTTTTTTTTCTTTCAAAATGGCTGCTCAAAATGGCTGCTCGGTACAGTTTCCCTGACATTCGGCTATTTTTCAAGATGGCGGCCGAATGGCCTTACATAATGTTTAGTGCTGCTATCATATTTGTTTGTTTCATTAGGCCCATTTACGCATCCCAAGCACCATTTTTGAAAAATCAATGATTTTTTTTTAGAGTGCTATTTTACGACTGGAAAAACCCATTAAAAACTGTTAGCGTTTGCTCATTCCGATTTGGTGAGGAGTGTGCATGCGTTGCGCACGAAAGTGAGGAGAATCACGGGACCAAAAGCGTAATCTCACCACAGAGCGAGCAAAAATCAGTGAAATTTTGGCAGGTGTTTAAAAAACACCGCCCTCGAAACTCAAAAGGTGGATTTTTTTTATTTCAAATTTTCGTTTTGTT